CCCGGGGATGCGCGAGGGGCCTAATGTTTATTTCTAATGTTCCACCTTTGGCCGGTACCCCAGTCTTTCTGTAAGTCCAGTGGTGATAAAGCTGTGAGGAAAAGCCAGGATTTGCCCATGCTTCCTTGCCACATTTGGTGAAGAGTTACTGAAGAGGTACTGTCTCGTCGGGGTGGTTGTGTTTCCCCCAAAACCCTTTCTGGGACTAGAAAACAAAAGTGTCTGGGAGACATACATCTATTTATTTGTTTGTTTGGTTGGTTGGTTTTATTTATGTTTTTTTCTTGGAGGCCTAGCTGAAAGGCCTCCTTCTCCAGGAAGCCTCCCCGCATTCCCTCTTCCTTCTTCCACCCTGCAGGCTGCAAGCAGTCTCCCTGGTCCGCCCTTAGCTATAGCCCTCCTTGGCTTCCAGGACCTTCCATGTGTTCTCCCCGCCCCTACTCTATTTATGGAAAAGTCCCATTTCCCTCTCAGACTTGCAGAGCCTTGGGGTGCGCCCTCGGGGCCTTTCTGTGCACCCTACCTGCCTCGTGCCCAGTCCCTTGTGGAGATTCAGGACAGCTGGGAACAGATAAGTAAAACGGGCCCTCTGGGTGTTTGGTTAGACTTCACCGATCTTCATCCATGATGTCATGTCCACCTCCTACTGTCTCCGGGGCTTCTCTTTACTTCTCTGTCCCTTCATAGGTGGATCTAGCACCACAGCCAAAGCCTAAGCCTGGCAGAATCTCCCTCTCATTGTTTCCATCTTGGCCTCTACGCCCTTCTCTTTGCGCTCCTGGTTCCTGCGCATGGTGGGTCTCCAGCTGGAGTGAAAGCCCTCCTGCCTGGTGGCCGGCCTTGCCCCCTGGGTGCAGTGGCTCAGCACTGGGCTGGGGCAAGAGACGCGAAGTTCCGCTGACAGACGTGACTTCGGGCCAACTGTGTGGTCCCTTCCTTCCTGCCCTCACCTTTTACATGGGCATGGGACCAAATGTGTCCTCAACTCGGGTGGCTCCAATGACTGTGAAGCCCATGTGGGTGTGTTTAAATATTCCCGCACGGCAGGGGTCAGTGGTGTTCCAACCGGTCGCAGTAGGACAGGAAAAAGGTGTATGTTTGGTTGCAGTTGTCGTGGTTAGACTGGCGACCCTTCCAATTCCAGAAGTTGAACTCCTATTTAATATGCTGATGGGTGTGCTGGGGCTTGTTCAGCTAAGGGAAGAAGGAAGGAGGAAGGTGTCTGGGGTGATTGCAGCTGTGGGAAGCTCCGAAAACTTTTATTTTTAAAAACACAACATTCCCCAGTTTGTAAAGGCAGGGTTAAGACGCAGAAAAAGACAGAGTGTACTGCTGAAAATGCCTTGGCCAAGAACACAGCGGCCAGCCCTCTGGGAGTGCGTTACGGGAGGATGGGGACTCACAGGGCCGTGCTTGGGGGGGTCGTGGTGCTTTACTCCCCTGTCCCCCCACCCCAGACACGTTTCCTTCATTTTCTCAGCCACATACCTGTCGAACAGGCCATGCTCATCTGTGACAGTGTATAACTCTCCCCACTCTACCTCCCAACACAAAAGAAACACATTTTGAGTGTTACCTTGTGCAGAGACCTACCGCACCTACTCTGCCCTGGTGATCTGAGCTGTCTCCTCCCGGGTCCCCACTGTACCCACCCCCATCACTGCCTGTCTGCATCAGTGCTTGGAAGGAGGAAGAAAAGGGTTTGATTCCCAGGACACCCGGTGTGGTTGGTGAAGGAGAAGCTGAGTTGGCCAACACTGGACTTTAAACCTTAACCACGCTAACTTAATGCCCCGTGCCTCTGCTTGAGAGCTGAGCCGCTTTGTAATTTACATCGGCCAATTTGCTTTACGCAGTGAGAAAGGCTGGGTATGTCCCCGAGCTGTGCGATGAAGCTGCCAGCAGAAACGCAGGGGGAGGGCAAAGAGGCCAGGGCTGTGACCTCCTCTTTGAGAGTCACTCCTCTTCAGTCTTCCTGGGTGCTGGTGGTGAGGCGTGAATCCCGGGACAGCCCAGATTCTGCCCCACCCTGAACCCCACTGTGCGCAGCCTTGGAGCAAGTCCTAGAGATGCTTTGAGTCCTGGGTGCACAGGTGGGGGAAGCCTTGAGATACTCTTTCCTCAAGCCCAGAAGAACCACAAAGGCTCTACAGAGGACACGCATTCTGCCCCGGGCCCCAGGGTTGATGGTGGTCCCGGGGCAAGAAGACCAGACGGAACCCAAGTCTCTGGACACCCGGTCAGACCAGCCAGAGTATCCCATGCCCGAGTTGGATGATCCTCCAGATTCCTGCCCTTCGTTAGCTGGGCTCAAGGCTCCTCTGTTACACTTGGCGGTTTCTCTGAGCTACTTTCTTTTGTTAATTGGTGCTGCTTCATGGACACACGCGTTAGGCCCATGCATCGGACGCTTCTCTTCTTGCTGAGGAGTGTCCTCCACAACACGTCCCTGTGTTCACATTCCCCTGAAGTAGCCAGTACTTTTCCATTCCCCCTCTTGTCTGTTTTCCCCTTTAAGAAGCTTTTGAGGAGTTGCCTCTAACCAAAAATGAGGAGCATTTTTATGGGACAGCATACAAGTAATCACAGCATTCTGCCAGATTCCCCCATGAAAATGATCGCATAGGCACGAGGGAGGATTATGGGATAATATACGTTAAAATAGAAAATGTGGCAAGTGGGGACTGCCAGGCTGAGTGTTTGTATCTTCATTGTTCAGACTGGTGGTAGGTTACCGGAAGAGCTATTGAAGCCCATTTCAAGGTAAACCATAACAGGAAGTAAGCAATTTCCTTTTATTCACTAAAAAATAAAGGGGTATATTAGTTTGCTGATATACATGAGAGAACATTATAACTTGTAGTACCCCTGAATTGACGTCAGCTTCCTAAATTTAAGACGCTAACTGAACGAGCCTGATTGTGAGGGGGTGGAACGCCAAAAAAAAAAAAAAGTAAAAAATAAATTAAAAAAAGTTACTTCTGCCTGCTTTGTTAATCACAAAGAATAAATAATAACATTTGGCTCTCTAGTGAATTCAAGGCTATAATTCACCCTTGAAGCTTCCCTGTTGTTTTAGAAACCACTTCAACTGGGTTCTCTGAGTGCTGTCTTGTATCAGCAAAACACTGTGTTATAATCGCTCCAACGTAGCCTTTCATTGCTTCCCGTTTTAGCCCGAATTCATTTATCAGAATGGCCTAAATTCTTGCCTACCCTTCTTAGATTTCTTTATGTGAACATAGCTCAGGCACAGATTACTCTCTAATTTTTTATTTATAAAATAACGTACGCTATTAATAGTTTGCCCTTGGAATTCGTGGGCAGTTCATTCAGATCTTTTTTCTTTTTTTGAGCCCTTACTCCATGCGGCCTGGAGGTGCTGGGGACACAGAGGAGTGAAGAAGAGCAAGAGCCCTGCCCTCAAGGCCCCCACCTTCTAGAGACTCAGCAAGAGGGGAGAGCAGGTGGCTAAGAATGGAACTAATGTGGGTTTTTTGTGTTTCTGCTGTAACCTCATCTCCCTGTGGAAAGACCCTGGCTGTGAGTGGCTGGGTTAGACCCCTGTGGTTAAGTCCCAGCCCTGTCACTAAATAGTGGGTAAGCAAATCACCAAGGGGGTCTCATTCTGTGTTTTGTGAAGTTGACAGCAGAAAAGTTTTTGTGTGTACGGGTGTGTGTGGCCCCAGATAACATAAGGTCTGGTGTCACACTTAACTGTCACTAGCGCTATTCAGCTATCATTGATGGGAGTCTGGGAAATGGCTTATTTGCTCGTTTTGGCTCATGTCCAAGATGCAGGCATACCCCCACCATGAGGCAGTTCCCCAGGGGAGGGGATGCCAAGAAGTCTTGGAGTGTGGGTGATGGAATACGGCTTTCCCGAAATCGGAGAACTGGGATTTTCTCGCCTTGTCCGTGCTGGGCCTGATCCGGTAGTCACGGCTGACTTCTCTTGGGGATTCTGGACCACAGAGAAGCCTTGGATGAATCCTGGCCTCAGCTCTCCAAGTGGTTTTCAGTTCATGAGCCGGCAGGAGGACCACACTTGAAACCGTTTCTTCTGGGGCGCCTGGGTGGCTCAGTCGGTGAAGCGTCTGCCTTCGGCTCAGGTCATGATCCCGGGGTCCTGGCATCATCGAGCCCTCTGTTGGGATCCCTGCTTAGCAGGGAGCTTGCTTCTCCCTCTCCCTCTGCTGCTCCCCCTGCTTGTGCTCACTCTCTCTCTGTCAAATAAATAAATAACATCTTGAAAAAAATAAACAAACCATTTCTTCTGATCACTGGCGGTACAGTGGAGACGGTGGGGAACACAATGCTGCATGGGGCGGGGGGGAGGTGCTGCTTACTGCGTGGGGCCCGGAGCTGATATACTTACCAACACTGCATTTCAGTGTCAGCCAGTGGTTGTTCTGTGTGGCTATTTGGACCCCTGTTTGTTTGAGTCCCACGTCCCACAGCCTCTGCTTTTCCCATGATGGGTAATTCTCTTTCCTTCTCAGTTTCTGAAATTGTACTTCTTTCCCCCTTTTAACTGTCTAGAATTTTCTGTGAAGTTTCCGACGCTCATTTACTTAGGAAAACGTCTCTTGGTTGGATACTTTTTCAGGGGTTTTATGTTTTAATGGCTTTGGGGGGTTAATGACTTGTAAGGTGCCCAAGCCAGTAAGTAATGGAGAGCATCTGTTGACTTCAGTAATAAATTTCAAACTTGTTTAGAATTCTGCTTATGTGTTAAATTTGAGTTTCTCCAGTGGGTCTTTTTTTGTATCTTGGATGATTTATATCTTTCTGGGGATTCATTTAGAGTGTTTTTTTTTTTTTCTTTTAAACAAGTGGTCTTCATAAAGACTAGGGCAGATGGATATATATCACACTCCCTCAAACATCTGGACGAGACAGGGCAGTTCTGTTTGATGTTTGTTACAGAAATGGCACCATGAAAGACTAACAACTGTTTCATTCTGATCTTAACATCATGTTTAAGACATTCCTTTCTCTTTTCTTCCTTCCAACTCAGTATCCCTCTACTGACTGGCAGAGACAGGAGTGGTAGATGTCCACGCCCACAGACCCTGGCGCGATGCCCCACCCAGGGCCTTCGCCGGGGCCCGGACCCTCGCCTGGACCCATTCTTGGACCTAGTCCAGGACCCGGGCCATCCCCGGGTTCTGTGCACAGTATGATGGGGCCGAGCCCTGGACCTCCCAGTGTCTCACACCCTATGCCGACAATGGGATCTGCCGACTTCCCGCAGGAAGGCGTGCACCAAATGCACAAGGTAAGAGTTTATTTTCTTGTTCACTCTCGTCTTCTGAGTCATGGATGGCTAAAATCCCTGATAACCCCCTCCTCCTCTTTTCCCCCCCTACTCTTGGTTAATAAGAGAATCAAGCGAAGTCTTTGTCTTATCTTGTATGTTATTAAAAACATACGTTCTGAGGCTCTGTTATTGTTACAGATGTTGTACAGGAAGATCAGATCTTGGCTTTTTGAACAAGACTAGATAGGATTTGCAGTTCTGACAATTAGATGCTGTGATTTGTGGGTTATGGGCTGTGGGCCTGGTGAGTAAGTGTATTCACACATAAGTCTTGATTTTTTTCCAACTGTATATGTAAAACAACATATCATCCATGAATGGATGAAATTTATTCTTCCCTAAGAATGTTGATATTTATTTAAAAAAATAGATCCCACAGAGTGGAAAGAAAACGAGTCATTTTGTAAGGCATTTTTTTTAAAGGCTTTATTGAAATGAAATAGTTTCCAGGGACTCCCTAAAATGCACTTTGCTATCCCCTCGGTCAAGTGGCTTTTTTCTGATTTTGGAAGAGGGCTGGGATTTTGCAGAGCGCAGGTCCATTTGTCTGTTTTTGGACTGAGGTCATAATAATCTTCTATTTATGAGGCTTGGATTGTTGCTGTAGGAATGATCCCATCAGTACAACTTGGCGTTAGGCCTTTCAAAGGAGATGCGAAGAAGAAAGAATTGGCTCTTGAGAAAGCCAGCCAGGTCCTGTGACAGTTTGCTTTAAAAGGGAGTAAGTAGCCAGTGAAACTCAGTGAGGCCACCCCACACGTGACCTGAGGGTCGTACCTGATAAGACAAGTAGAGGTTTTCTATTGCTTTTGGACGACGTCACAGGTGGACGGGGGTGGTGGGGCTGCCTCTTGGTATTAAGTAGGCAAACCGTGGAAGATCCTGGTTTAAAACAGAAAGATTATATCAAAAAAGAACAAGTCTTTCCTCTAATCCTATAGGACTGTAGGTCAATTTTAAGGTAGGGCATTGGAGCCCAGAGGGGAAGATGCTTTTTCTTTAATTTTCTTTCCTTTCCTTTCCTTTCCTTTCTTTCTTTCTTTCTTTTTTTTACAAATTTTGTTATTTGATGATTTTCAAATCAGGAAAGTAATACATACTTATTTTGAAAAGTAAAACTGTACTGAGGTAAAGAAACAGTTAATCCTGGCCTCACCCCATGTAACAGCTTTGTGCTTGCTTTTTATACCTCACGTTTCTCCCTGTTCAGTAAAAAGTCCTGTGTAAGCCCAAGTAGGCATATCATACAGGTCTGATTTTTTTGTTTTGCTTTCCTTTTACCATAATACAATCACGTCATCACTGTTAATTACTCTGAAACTTCGTCTTTTCCTTTAACAATGTGTCCTGGATACCCCCCCCATCGTATCCCCATGTTCTCTCTCTGCTTTTGAGGTTTGTTTTTGTTTTAAACACATTTTTAACTTGTCATGTATCTAAAGAAGTGAAGCTGCTTATTTTCCGTATCATATTCTTGAAGAGACATACTGAACATCTAGACATACTGAAGTCATTACATTGTCTTGTGTATTAAATTAATTTGGGAGCTATCATAGGTCTGATCTGTCACTCGTCGGCCTTAGTCCAAGTGGGCTGAATATTTTCAGAACGATTTGAGGCTGTCTCACCTCCCAAATGAAAGAGAAACTGTGAAGGAAAATTTTAGCTGACCTTTAGTATTATTTAGGCGTTTGGAAGGTACAAAGGTATGACCGAATGTTGGGTCGCTGGTAGATTTTTGCACTGGGTTGTTTCTATGGGTGATTATCTCTTCTGATCCCTTTTGTTTTGTGACCTAGTGTCTTTGTCACATTTTCTCATACCCACCCCCCTTGATACTCTTTTTTTGTTTTGCTTTCTTTTGTTTTGCTGAGAGTTTGCATTTTTTGCCATCCTGCTTTTCCTTCCTCCCAGCCCCTCAGATGATTCCCTGCGCAGGGACGTGGTTAAGTGCCTGAGTTCACACCTGCTGACCAGATGCCTTCACTTTCTTGGAGTCCTTTTACAAGGCAGCTCTATTCCTTGTCTTTCTCCTCCTTCTCCCTCGGAGATTCAGCTCTTTGCTTTTCAGCATCACTGGAAATAAATAAACAAGTGGCCTAAATACATCTGCTTGTGTTGCTTTGATTTCCTCCCTATTATTACTATTTAACAGACTCAGAGACACTCTTTATATCAAATTCTTCCCATTTTTCTTCTGAACATCCTCTTTATGGCAAATTTTTCCTCTTTTCAAGTGCGTGCTTTTGACTCTGCAGAAATTAACTTTCCTTTCTGTAAAACTGCAAACACTCATACTTTCTTGCTTGAAGTCATTTGGTTTCTATAAACTCCTGGAACTATTTCTTTCAGGCGGTTCTGAAAATTGCTCTTACAGTTTGGGGAGGAATAGACTTTTCCTTTTTTTTCAAACACATGCTCCGTTGCCCAATTCTGGATTGGATTAATGTCAACTCAATGGCTCTTTATCGTGTGCTTGTTAGGCATGAGGCCTCACGTCCTGGTTTGAGTTCCTGTGATCTTGACATTTTTTTTTTTTTCCAAACTCTGCCTTTAAAACATTTTCAAGTTGGGTTCTCTCTGTGGTTCGGATTCATCTGTCATACCTTCCTTCTCTGGCAGTACTCTGCTCCACCCCAGCTCTTCCTCTTTTCCCAACTGCATGGAACTTTCTGGTTTCGACTTTGAAACTTTCCATATAGTTCTTTCCTCTTTGATGAAAAAAAATGACCAAAAAAAAAAAAAAATACATCATCGCAGACATTTCAAATAGGGTTCCTTCAGACTTTGGACTAACTTCAATCTACAACAGGTTTCAGGACTTACTTAAAAGGGTAGGGAAGAATGGCTTATATTTGTGAGCAGGACTTCATTTGTATTTGTAGGCCTTTGACATTACAAAAAAAAAAAAATCCAACTGTTTAAAGCCTTAACTTTCGACTTACGGATAGTTTTGCTGACCCTGTTGGTGTAGTCTTATTTTTTTTGTCCCCACCCATAAAGTATATGTAATATATGGTAATACAAGTAGTATAAGTATAGAAATGTATGTCTGTCATACGAGCAATTGATGATTATGCCACAGTTTTGAAGACTTTAAATGTGAGGGATCTTAAAAGGTCCAGATGGAAATTTTGTACCTTCAAGAGCCATCTAACTGATGTCCTTTGAATGTTTCAGCCCATCGATGGTCTGCATGACAAGGGGATTGTGGAAGATATCCATTGTGGATCCATGAAGGGCTCCAGTATGCGGCCACCTCACCCAGGAATGGGTCCTCCCCAGAGTCCGATGGATCAGCACAGCCAAGGTTCGTGCCGGCTGCACACCCGGTGTTGGTTCCATACCATAGTCTTCCATCTTTCTTACTGGTTACTTTACTTGTGACTTCCAAAGAACATGTCTAAGGAAGGCTGAATCTGCAGGCTGCTACTCCCCTTGCCTGTACCAATATGACTATGATTTTTGTGTGGGCAGTTCTATTTCCAAGATACTAGTAAATTCTACTAGCCACCCTGTGTCCACACAATCCACAAGGTGGCTTTGTGTACTCGATGCAGATTCTTTATTATGATCTTCGAAGGTAAATTAGGTCAGCCCCATTTTCTAGGTGGGGAAGCTAAAGCTCAGAGAATTTGCTGTGTTTTCCTAAGTGAACACATCCAGTAAGTGGAAGGGCCAAAAGGAGAATCCAGGTCTCTCTCCAAATGACAGCAGAGATGTGAAGGTAAAATGAGCCACCTGTGTCCCTTGAATTGCATGCTCATGTTTTGTAAGGTGGCTTTTTCTGGCAGTGGAATTACCTGTTATTGCTGGTGGGTGGCTGTATTTGTCTCCTGGAGCCGCTGTAACAAATTCCCACGAACCGGGGGGGCATGAAACAACAGAAATTGATTCTCTCCCAGTTCTGGAGGCTGGAAGCCTGAAATCAAGGTATTAGCAGGCCATGCTCTCGCTGAAGGCTTTCGGGAAGAGTCTTTTGTTTTGCCTCCTCCTCCTAGCTTCTGGTGGTTGAGAGCAACCCTTGGGATTCCTTGACTTGTAGATCTCTCATTCCAATCTGTTTTGGTCTCCGTATGACGTTTTCCTGAGTGTCTACACCTGTGTCCAGATTTCTCTCTTCTCGTAAGGACATGGGTCATTGGTTTATGGTCTCCCCTAATCCAGTATGGTCTCATCTTAACTTGATGACATCTGCAGAGATCCTGTATCCAAATCAGGTCACGTGCACAGGTACTAGGGGTTGGGGCTTTGGCATACATAATCTCTATAGAAGACATAATTCAACCCAGAATAATGGCCAGTCAGTATACAGCATATTTCTCTTCCCTTTGGTGCCTTCCTCCCTCCCTGTTGAAGGCATAGTAAAGATACCTCACAGTCTTTGAGTCCATTGTAACCTGTTTTCAGAATCATTGTACGGTCATTTCAGCATGCAAGGGCGTGCGTTGATCTAGGACCAGTTAACCCTAACATGTTGATCTTCTCATTCAAAGTTTGTGGTTTATGTGTTGTTGTATGTATTCCTTTGTCATTTAACAAATGTGGGTTTTTTTTCCTCTATTCATGATCAGCCATCCATCCACCCGAGGGGAGATTTTTTGACTGAGGATTTAGAGAAATGTATCACAACTAAAATATACATACACACACACACACATATATGCAAATCATGGAGGCATAGGAATGTATCTTCATTCATAGTCAAGCAGGTTTTGAATATCCCAGCCTCTGATCAGAATTTTGATGGCAGACACAGGTGTAAGTGTTGCAGATGATGCCTCAAATGTTGACCACATCAGCCAAGCAGACTGACTCATGGGATTTTTTGCAGTATGGGAAGAAAATATTTGACCCATTCAGTGTTAAGAATGGATTTAGACAATGCTCACAGGTTTAACAGTTAAAGTCTGAGGAGCCAGGTGGGTTCCCAGAGCTAATGTAGATCTCATTTGTACTGCCTGGGAGGTGTAGATGAGTGACGTTCAGTGATTCTCAAAGCCAAGTGCCCGCTCTGTCTGCTCCTGGCTTTGCAGTACCTCCAGGAGTAAGGCCCAAGGAAAACTCCAACACAAAACGCTTTAAATGTACGAATTTTCAGTGAGCACTTCTACTTTTATGTATCTTAAAATTTCTCTCACTGCTTGGTTCCTTTTATTCTTCTTGGAATCTCCAACACTTGGTACAGTATCCAGCACATAACTGGATAGATACCTCGTTCATTTTGTTCAGTTAGGTAGAGAAGTGAACTGATGCATTCACCAGTCAACAATTTTAAATAGATACTAATTTTTGTATAATTTCGGCAAGTTATAATTACCTGGAAATGTAGGGGTCTGCACTAAATGGAATCCGAATTAGCACGTAATATTTTTCTCCAAACTAGTAAAGTGCATTGCAGGCTGGGGAATGAGTTATTTTAAAAGCATATTTTTGAATAAAGTAGTATTGGTATAATAGAGTCTTATTCTATATAATGATCTAAAAAGAGTTTAGACCCTGTAATAGCATGTATCTTTAAAGACCCCATTGTAAAAAAGACAAAAACAAAACCATTTATAAACACACATGTATGGGGAGGTGCGGTATTGATCGGAAGGCTGCTAGCTTTAACTATCTAGCAACGTATTAGGTTATTTGGAGGTATTGGTTGAGAAGCAAAACCATTTCCTTCAATAAATACTGAATCATGTGTCTTATGGTCCCAATGATAACATTGTTTATTTTTAGTCCGTTGGATGGCAAAAGCCTTCATAGGCAAGTATATAATAGTTAATGTGTGTGTGTGTGAGAGAGAGAGAGAGAGAGAAGAGAAAATTCATATAAAATTGGCACTTATAAGTTCAAGATTATTAAAAGGAGAGACATGATGGCTTCTCTTGAGACAAGGTGAAACCAGAGAGATAATACCCTCAAAGACTAGGGAAGGAAAACTGCCACTTTTTTGGGGACCACTTTTGAACGAGCAAATCAAACCAGCCTTCACAAAGAGCAGATTCTGTATGGACGCTGGCATCCTGCAGAAAAACATGTATTCGCTCTCAGGCAGTTTCTTTGCCCCGTCTTCTTAACTAAAGATAATTACTAAAATACGTTATGTTGTTTCATCATTTCGATTCTGGTTTTTCCTGAGGTTTTATGGAATGCTGGTCATGTAGGGGGGAAAAAAATCTCCCTCTTTAGCTGAAATGCTGTCACATTTGTAATGTCATACTGTGATAGAAGGATTCTATTAACATGCCTATATTTTCTAGGAAAAAAAAAATTTCCTGTCCCCAGTTTCTTCTTGTCACATTTGAGGTAAAATTTTGTTGCATGGATTGATTCCAGAAAATGATTTTTATTCCACTCTCAGCTTCTTCCTTAGCGAATTTGAGGTAAACTTAATCATTGTGCCTGATATCACTGTCTCACCTTCCTAGCTCCATTTGCCCATACTTCATAGTTTAACAGAGCAATTTAGTCAACACTTGAGTTTAGACCAGATTGTCTGGTGTTTTGGTCCATTGTGTTGGCCATCCCATGATGTATCTTGGGTAAGCCGTAATTGAGGACCTTGGAAATAGGAGAGACTGGAAGGCAAGAGACATATGACCCATTTCAACGCCTGGTAGTATCCCTTCTACTATGAAAATCCCAGGAGGAGGATTTTTGGTAGCAAGTTTCTTACCCCTGTGGTAGATAGAGGGTTGGCCAAAAAGGCGTCAGGAAGGTGTTTTCCATAATGAACAAACTATATACCCTTATGCGCCAGCATTACAATTAAGGGGTGAATGTAAGCCTCATTGAAGAGGAAGAATATTAATGACAAAGTTCTGTGCATGTTGGGAATCCTTTCTAAACGTTTTCTGTCATAAGTAACAACATACCAGGCTCTAACCTTCTGCTGGTCTTGCAGGCTGCTCTCGGGGGCATTTTCTTGGCTGACTCATATGACTGAATAGAACCCTAATGGCCGAGTGGTTTTGCACTCTGTTATGAAGTAAGGATTTGGGGAACGAGAGTTAGTAGATCTTCCAGTTCTTGTCAGGGCACTGTTGGCTCTGAATGGAGCTCCACGTCTCACCAGCTGATAGCACAGAACCTACCCTCGTCTTCAAGCGCCTGAATACATGTGTTTCCCTTTCCAAACGGCAATTCAAGGTAAAAGTAATTACGGCCTTTGTTTTCTCTAGTCTCTCGAATGGTGATGGTGAGTCCCCAGCCAGTGTCGGTCTGATGTTCTTGGGCCTCTGCAATCCCACGTGGATGCACAGAGCTTTCAGCCCAAACCCGACATGGGTTCCAACACACAGCAGATGTCTAATAGAAACCGATGTGATGACCTTTATGATAATTGTGACCCAAGCACGTTTATTAAAGGGCAAAGACCTTGAATCTGATATTTTATATTGTGTCTTAGGACACCTGTGACTTGATTCATTAGCACTTAGTTTGAATTCAGGGCAACCTTTAGGATTGCAGGAGGCTACTTTGTTCCCTCCTCACCTTGGCTCTCCCTGCAGCCATGCTCAATCATAGGTTTTTCTAAGAATTTTTTGGCCAGGATCTACAGTTCATCTCCTGGAATGAGTTCCTTGAGATACTTCATGCATTTTTTTTTAATTTCTTCCCCAAGAAATGTATTCTTAAATTTCCCACATAGATCTCTTAAAACCCAGACAGATTTCTCTCATGTTTATGTGATACCGTAAATGGTTCTAGAAGATTTTTGAGACTTTCAAATCTCTAACTTATTTGTGTAAAACCAAATTAATATCAGAGCCTGGAGAGAACATGTACACATTGGAGTCAGACGGACTTTGGTTTGAATCTTGAAGCTGCCAAGACCTAATTATGTGACATATTGGTTTCCATATTTAAAAAAAAAAAAAAATGGAGGTGACAACACTTAACTTCTGGGGCTGTTGTGAGGATTGAAGAAATAATGTGTACTCCATTCATATCCCTTTAATTGTCTTCACCCTCTCTGTGCACCCACCCACCTGATGTCCGCTGGCAAGCCCGCCATCTTGCCTCCAGTGGCGCCTCCAGTGGACTCCAGGCCCTCTTACCCCCACCTGGAAAAGTCCTTGGGGACTAATGATCCCCAGAGTCATAACCAGTGACCTAAGCAGTGACCAATAATCCTAAGAGTTTGAAAACTCCAGCTTCTTCCCCACCCCCACCCCACTCCCTGGGATAATTTGAAGGTGAGTCATTGACCTCATACTCCAGAGGTTCTGCCTGAAATTAGTCTGCAGCAGCTGCTGTCTCTTTCTTGTATCAGCTTTCTTTTTTTTTTTATTTTACATTTTTTATCTTATTATGTTATGTTAATCACCATACATTATATCACTAGTTTTGGATGTAGTGTTCCATGATTCATTGTTTGTGCATAACACCCAGGGCTCCACGCAGAACGTGCCCTCTTTAATACCCATCACCAGGCTAACCCATCTCCCCACCCCCCTCCCCTCAAAACCCTCAGTTTGTTTCTCAGAGTCCATAGTCTCTCATGGTTCATCTCACCCTCCGATTTCCCCCCCCCTTTGTTTTTCCCTTCTACTATCTTCTTCTCCTTTTTATTTTATTTTTTGACATATAATGTATTATTTGTTTCAGGGGTACAGGTCTGTGATTCATCAGTCTTACACATCTCTCAGCGCTCACCATAGCACATACCCTCCCCAATGTCTACCACCCAGCCACCCCATCCCTGCCACCCCCCTCCACTCCAGCAACACTCAATTTCCTGAGATTAAGAATTCCTCCTATCAGTGAGATCATATGATACATGTCTTTCTCTGATTGTTATATTATCTTTCTATACCCCTCTGCCAGTGTGCCTGCACCTTCCAAATAAATCCCCTGCACTCAATCCTTCCATCAGGCTCTGTTTCAAGGGAGAACTCAACTAAGTGCCTTGGGTAGTGCCTATAACAGTGGAGGCCCTCAATGATTGTGCCCAAGAATAAACCAAGTAATAATTTGCTCTCCCCACGAGAGACTCTTCATTCCCAGTTGCAAGATAGTACATACTCTCCAGGTTTTGTTCTGGAGGTTGGAGCTACTTTTAACGTATAACACTGTCCCCTGCTGTCTTTGCTTTATGTGTACAACAGCCATGAGCAGTGAACCTTCTAGGACACACGTGGCTATTGGTCATTTCTTGAAATGTGGCTTGTCCTAATTGAGATGTGCTGTCGCTTAGCATGGAAAAAAAAAAAAAAAGCATGTAAAATATGTCTTTATGTCTTTGATAATTTTTGTATTTTGAAATGATGATATTTGGGGTATGTTGACAGCAAAACGTATTATCAAGATTGGCTGTGTCTTTTACTTTTTAATGTGACTACTGGAAAATTTTCATTGCATATATTTGGTCCAGGGTAATTTGATAATTACACATAGTTCTGTAATTATTAAGTGACGTATACTTTAAATTTCTAGCAGGCGGTGCCGTTGAGGAAAAATCATCCAAATGGCCAGGAATGCCAGGTTTTCAGGGTCACTGGGGGCAGCGTGTGATCTCCTTTCCTGTTTTGTTCTAGGTTACATGTCGCCACACCCGTCTCCGCTGGGAGCCCCCGAGCACGTCTCCAGCCCTCTGTCGGGGGGCGGCCCGACCCCACCCCAGATGCCGCCGAGCCAGCCGGGGCCCCTCATCTCGGGCGATCCGCAAGCGATGAGCCAGCCCAGCAGAGGTCCCTCGCCTTTCAGCCCGGTCCAGCTGCATCAGCTGCGAGCGCAGATTTTAGCTTACAAAATGCTGGCCCGGGGCCAGCCCCTCCCCGAAACACTGCAGCTTGCAGTCCAGGGGAAAAGGACGTTGCCCGGCATGCAGCAGGCCTCGCAGCCCCAGCCACAGACACAGCAGCCGCAGCAGCAGGCCCTTGTTAACTACAACAGACCATCTGGTAGGTTAATGTGCAACCAAATGAATAACGCCGTGGTCCAGTCTGGCTAAGGAGGGCTGCTAAGGGCGCAGGAGTGCGGGGCTGCTCTAAGCCCGGCCGTCTTAGCCTTTGGTTGTTCCTAGTTGGCTCCCTTGTCTTGCTTCACTTGGCTGCCCGGGACCAGCCCTTGGGCTCCTGGGCCGCAGGGTCCCAGGAAGGAAGCAGTGCCCCCCCGCCCCCCCGCCTGTGCCTCTACATTTCTCTTTCAGGAGGCTCAAGGTTTGTCGGGAGCCCGGCCATACGTCCCAGGTTAAGAACCCAGCCCCCGGCGCCTTCCCTTGGCCAGAAGGCGCCCCTAGACTCCACTCTCCTCGAGCCATGTTATGTGAGCTGATTTATTTATTTCTGCCCCTTTGTGTGGTTTGAAAAGCATTTAGGGAGACCTCCAAAAAGCATACCTGCAGTAAAATAATTATCAAGTGTAGGAAATCAGAAACAAAGGGAAATAGCAATCGGGGTCAGGGAGGTCAGGAGCGTGGAGTCCCCCCCCACCCCGCCCCACCCAGAGCTCATGGTTGATGCCTCTGAGCTTGACAGAGGACTCCAGCTTCCTGGCAGTCAGGGAAGGAGAGAGGGTCTGGTACCAGATCCTCACCATTTGGCAGCAAGTGACAGAGGAACACAGAGCCTTTTCTAAGCATGAGACTATAAAGTAGAATTTCCAAGTGGGATTGTTTTTTTTAATCATTGGTATTATTATTGTACGAGACACTGCACGATAGAGGCATCAATAAGATTTGTTCATAATAAACAGAGTAACAGAATGCATGCAGCCTATTTCTTCCATAGACCCTGGCATCAGATCCGAAGCTGTGATATTATGTAATGGGCGGAGATGAGCTAGTCCTTTGTAAGGCCTTCTGGCGGTCTGGCTTGATCCCACTGCTAGAATTCAGAGGTGCGGGGGGCTATGCGATGAGCTTCCACAAATGTTTTCTCTGGCAAGGTTTTTGTTAACCACCAGAGAAGCAAAGAGTTGATGGTTCTGTTCTAACTAGAGTTTTGAATTCCGGGGTCTTCCTTGACATTGACACCATTTCCTGTGAATGCTTCCCTCATGCTGGGGCAAGCCAGGACATGCCGATCACTGCGAATGATTCGTTTGGGACATCGGTACTTTGTCTAAGTTTGGGGACTTAGGCAGTGGGGAGGAATTCAGATTATTATTATTTTTCAATTATCATCTGCCTTCTGAGTTTGTAAATGTTTCTTTTCTGGTGGGGGAAGCTCCAAGAGTTGCCCTACCCGAAGGATTAACTCACCTTGTTAATTGTGGATGTAGCCTTAGGAATGGATTTTTTAAAGAGCAAGAAAGGATCATGTCAGCTCCAGATCTTTGTGTAGTGACTGTGGTGCGTTGGTAGGTGGAGGATCATGTGGGACTGAACGTCAAGGACCAAGAAGGTTATAGAGGAAAACCATGCAGAAAAGGGTAGTTTGGACACTTGATGTGTTTAGAGGGTTCAAAACAGCATAACTCCAGCTCTTGGGAAGGCAGCCAGATGAAAGAAAAAATATATGCATGTCTCGGCATAGCCGGTACTTATGAAGCACCTACTGGCCTGTGTCATGCTCAACTTTAGTACTATGCATGTGGGACTCATCTAGAATATGGAGAGTCGGCACTCCCATGCTAGCAGTCTGACCCAAGAGCCCATGTCCTTACCAGCTGCCCTGTCCTGGCTCTTTCATAACAAAGGGGCTCATGGCAAGGGAAAGAACCTGTCATAAACTGTGTACCAAAGGCGGCAACCGTTTTACTCCTGTGTGTGTGCCAAAAGGAGAAGTATCTCCGCTCCTCACCTAGAGGCTTTTTACTTGTTCTCTAGACACAATGTCAGTGAAATTAGTACTCTTGACATCCCACATCGTAGTAGTTTCCAGGAGAGGCTGAATGGCAACCAGAGAGTTGGTAGTTGGAGGAAGATGGAGCAAAACCTGTACCTCACAGGAGCTAGTGATATGGGACTGTGTCGTGTAGGCGTCCTTCACCGTACATGGAAGTGTGTCCCGGAGTGTCATCACAGACCTCCATGAGCATTGCGCCTTTTTTTCTTTTTTTTTTAAATTTTATTTGAGAGAGCAAAAGCTGGGTGAAGGGCAGAGGGAGAAGCAGGCTCCCTGTGGAACAGGGAGCCCGATGCGGGGCTTAATCCCAGGACACCGGGATCATGACCTGAGCCGAAGGCAGATGCTTAACTGACTGAGCCACCCAGGTGCCCCAAACATTAGTGCTTTTAAAATGACCTGTGCTCGGCAGGAAAAGATCCCAAAGTATCCTTTAAGAAGGCAAGAAGCTGAATGATTCATTGATTCCTTTCAGAAACCTTTTCACCCAAAGTTCGAATAAGGAGACCGAATAAAGTAGTAAAACTTAGGGGACCAAGTTTCTGTTGTCTGGACTCTTGTACCTAATAGCCACTTCACATCCCAGTAAACATAATCCCGAGTGCGTTTTCTGGACCATTTCCTGAGGAGGGGACTCCATGACATTACCCATCTCTGATGCTTCGTCTTCCCTCACCAGGCCTCTGTCATCAGGAGGAATCTGTTTTGTTACTCAGTGCTCTGTCTCTTGTATTTCGGTCCATCTGGCTTCATTAGAAATGAAAATATTGGGGCAGATAGTATTTTATGCCAGAGTGGGCAAGGAGGCCGTGGATAAAGTTGGAAGAAGCTCCCTCCTGCCACCAGAGCAGACCCATTCCCGCCGCTGGGAAGGAGGTTACACCCCAGAGTGTCACAGAACTTGTACCCAAACCTCAGTTTTCAGAGGGAGGTGGCATCCTTACTTGACAAAGACTTTTTTGGGGGGTTTGGCATTTAGCACAAGTCAAAGTAAGGCAAAGAATATTTTATTTTTAGAGTTAATATTTTTAATTGTTATTACTTATCTCCATCCCTCCTTAACAAAAAAAAAGTTATTGTGTATAAATACCTCTACTGATTTTTCAGGAAAAAATAAGTTTAAGTATGTCCGCTTATCTGGAGATAACTCCTATGCCTTGTTTCTTTTGTCCAGCTTTATAGTGTTATCCATGTTTGAGAGAATCTCTTTGGCTGGGGTGGTCTGCCTCAAACCTACTCCAGAGATGTGACTCACCCTAAGTGCCACACATCATCAGGGGCATCACTAGGGAATTATGGGTTGACTGCAGGAGTTGCACACTGAATAAATAATTCTTGAGTCCTTATCTGCTGTGGGCTCCCTGCAAATCTAACCCATCATCTTCTTTTTCACTTTGATTCATTTTTTTCTTTTATAGAAACTAAAGCAAAATTAAAAATAGGAACCTTAAAAGTTTGGGTTTGGGTTTTTTTGTTGTTGTTTTTTGGGGTTTTTGTTGTTATTCTTTGTTTTTGTTTTTTGGGTTTTTTTTTTTTTTTTTGGTGCGGGGTGCGGAGGACCTTATGGTAAAAAGTAAAAGTATCATTGTTAATTTTTTTCAGTACTTGACTCTCTCCTGCTCCCTGTCCCTGCCACCCCCGCTCTTTTTAGGTATCTAAAATACCTAGGTATGTTCAATTTAAATACACTTCATTACATTTATATTTTTTCAACCCGTGGAAACCACTTAAATCCTTATTTAAGGCACAGAATTTTGAGTAAGGATCCTAGTGTGCCATGAAGACAGTGTGAGCTCTGAATGCACAGAAATTCTGTACATGCGAGACTCGGGTATTTTAATAAGTTCGTTTTCCTGTTTCTTAAAATCAGGCAGAGGGCTACATCTGAGAAAGACCCCCCCGACACACACCTTAGCTGCACTAGGTCGCTCTCAGGGGTATCAGGATAAACCTCTGCCTTGATTTCCAAGGTGAGGACTGTGGGAAAAACAGACACATTTGGAACCTCTGACAAATAAGCCTAAATTGTTTAGGGGGGGGTGGTGGATAGGAGATAAGCTAAGGAATGTAATTTGTCTGAAGTTTGAGGATATCAGAAAGCGGTCTTATCATTTAGCAGACCCCGAGTGTCTGTAGCAGAGATGATTTCTGTGGATAGAGAGCCAATCCAGCCAGGCACCTCAACTATAAGCCGCCAGAGGGACAAGCAAGAAACCTGAGGAACAGGTAGTTACATTCTGGGCATGTCCAGTTGCAGCAAACTGCTCCCGCTTCCCTGCGCTCTGTAAGTAGGAGTTTTTATGTAATCTGTTGGGAGGGAGGAGAAAATAGCCCCGCTCAGTAAATGAACTCGCGGTGTTTAGTTAGGAAAGGAATTTGCTTGTAAGTGGCTCTGATAGCCGCTTGGCAGAAAGTACTTGGCAAGCCGACTTATCTGAGTATTTGTGCTGAGTCGTTGTGAGCCGTAGAAACATTCTGAAGTTTGCTGTAGGAGAGTGTACTCCCAGCGTTGCCAGCTAACCCAGTATCAAGCTTCCTTAAAAGCCTTTTTTTCGCCATGGGGTTTTTCCATAGAGCTAAGTAACTAAATTAGACTTGTTAGCCTCGGTGGCCTTGCTAGGGTTAAAAATGACAAGAGTGTGGGTGGGTGTGGATCATGTGGTTACATGATCTCATTGAATCCTCACTCCCACCCTAGGGGGTTATATTATTACCCCCATTCTACAGATGAGGAGACTGAGGCACACGGGGTTAAGTGACTAGCTCAGGCTCACGCAACCAGCAGGTGGTGGAGCTCAGGTGACACTCATGAGTTCTTTTGGAAAGAGGCAGGATGCTTTCAGTGTGCCTGTTTTCATTAACAGCAAGTTGTAGGACTTTTTGAATTGGAGATTTGAATATGTAAGTTCATGTTTGGGTCTCTCTTTCTCTGCTTCTCCATTTTAAGGGTCAATCAACTTTAAAGAACGTCTTTGTCTTTAACGGATTCAAAAGTCTAGCCCTGTGCCTGTGTATTAGATCTGGTCCTTGAGTCATAGGCTAAAAATGACTAGAACTGGAACCAGGGATATCAGACATGCTCTGGATACCTTCCTTTGATGAAATGTGGCTTTAAAAATAGTGACTTTGAATATACCTCAAGGAGTCATCAGAGGTTTCTGCATAGGTGTTTACAGGAGAGAAGGCTAAAGAAGAAAGCTCCGGAAACAGGTGGAATGTGTAACACCCAGTGCCCTGTTCTGGCTTTTGTTGATGAATTATTTCAACTTTGAAAGGAGGAAAAACACTTGCAGAACTGAATGTAGAGTAATTATTATGATATTATCGTATCAGCAAGATCCGAGTTTTCTTTATGTTAAAGATGGTGGTGTTTTTAGGGGGCTTCAGTGTAGTAAGTTTGTTACTTAGTATGCTTATCCCGAGTCTTGAAATATATTTAATTCTACCAGTTTCTTGAGTTTATTAAGGAGATGCATAGAATCACAGAGAATCAGCCTGTTAGAAATCTCTGTCTTCTCTTTTTTGGCTGGATCACACCTAAAACAACCCTGATGAAAAATCTACCATGTTTCAACGACCTCTAGGGAGAACATATTCTAGAACATCCCTCCATAACTCATTCCAATGCTCAACAACCCTGAGATTTAATGTTTAGAAATCGGTTTCTTATATATGGATGAAAGAAACTTCTAAATATAAAATATTATGAAAAGCCATGTATTATGTAAAAGACTTCCCATTCAGAAAAAAATCGGAAAGTACATAGCTGAAAAGAATCTCTTTATTACGATAGTGTATCTATGATACCTAAAATAGTAAATTTCTAAGAATGCATTTTTCCGTCAAGAGTTTTTCATCCCCCACTGGACCCAGGGCTACCTCAGGATTATGTAGCTGCATGTGTTTTGGAAAGTTTAGCTAATATCTCAAGGAAGGTGAAAAAAGCCCAACAGTAATACCACACACACACACACACACACACGTGTACAGTTTCCTAAGCAGTTTGTTCTAATTCCTCACATTCCTCCTGTCAAAATGTTTGCTTATACTCTTCTTGCATTGTCATTTAAGCCCGCTTCTAAATGGTGTTTGCTGGAAATTGAATAAATGTGTCTAATTTTTCATAATGTACGTCTTTGTATGGTTAATTATTAAGGCGCCCTGAAGTATATAGACTATTATTTTATTACCGTTTAATAGTTTTAACTTTTCTTAGAGAAGATATAGAAAATGCTCGGGAGAATGCTTCTCAGAGGTTTTAACAGCTTACTGAGATTTTTCTTTTTCATTTCCTAATTCATCTGGTAGCATCCCTAATCTTATTTATAATTTTGAAGTAAGTAAAAATGTAACTATGGGGAGAGACAGAACACTTCTTACTTTCGGTCCATAACTAAACTCCTGAAGTTTAATGTGGAAAATTGCGTTAAATTAACTTATTAAGTACATTTTGATAAGCTTAATGATTGCATATCCCTTTATTCTGTTAGCATGAGGAAAAATGCTCCCTTGAATCTTAATATTTGCTAGTTTTTATAGGTGGAATGAGCAGATTTGCTCCCCCGCCTCCACTGAATGTTTTTAGAAACACTTTCTAATATGTAGTAAAAAAAAAAAAAAAAAAAAAAATTCAGTTCCTGAGATGCACTGATTAAGCCTGAAATGTGCCTTTTAGGTCATTAAGGGAAAATGTGTGCCCTTTTCAGTACACATGGAAGGGCTGGCCAACGTGCTGGCTGTATTTGGAAAGCGAGGGTCAGGCCGCTGAGGGTCTGCCTCAAGTCCCTCAAGGTGCAATTTGCAAAATGTGGTACTAGGACCACACCCAAATTGCATCTGACTGTTCCATGACTCCCTTACTTTTCTGAACTCTTGAATGCACCTGCAATTCTTAAAAAAAAAAACACACAACACTCTAGAGCTACATTAAATGCTGACCATCCGTTCCTTTAATGGATGTACTACTTGAGTCATTTTTGGACCATTTCACCAGTGTCCATCAGTGAATGCCATTGCCCTATGGGGATAGATGCTGGGTTCTTCTTCTTAACTTTTTCCTCCTCCCCGCCCCCCCCGCCCTCCCTCCTTCCTCATCTCCTTTCCTCCCCCCTCCTCCCTTGTCTGGAGATGTTCAGTGGTCCCCGAGGCAGGGGGGCAGCGGGCAGGCCGGGGGTGGCTGCAGGGCGCCGGCCCCCCCGAGCTGCCCATGTCGCTCTTGTCCCGCAGGCCCGGGGCCAGAGCTGAGCGGCCCGAGCACCCCGCAGAAGCTGCCGGTGCCCGCGCCCAGCGGCCGGCCCTCGCCTGCGCCCCCCGCCGCCGCCGCGCAGCCACCCGCGGCCGCCGTGCCCGGGCCCTCCGTGGCGCAGCCAGCCCCGGGGCAGCCCTCGCCCATCCTGCAGCTGCAGCAGAAGCAGAGCCGCATCAGCCCCATCCAGAAACCACAAGGCCTGGACCCGGTGGAGATCCTGCAGGAGCGCGAGTACAGGTACCACGCACCCCGGCCCCGGGGGTGGGGGCTGGCAGCCATGTCCTCGTGGGGACCACCGAGCCTGGCGGGGGGGGGGGGCGCGGGGGGTAGACGCCCTGCCCTGTGGGACCAGGCACAGGCCGGAACTCATGCTACAGGAAGACCTTAGAACCAGAGTTTGCTTGCCATTGGGGTGGCTGGAGGAGGCCTCTCATGGCTCTGGGTGGGCAGGACTGTGATTTTCCTGCATTGAGTTAGAAAAAGGTTATCACTCCCTGTGACACGCCAGGCACTATGCTAGGCCCTAGGGAGGCAAAGATCAAAGCCACCCGCAAGTGATCGTGGATCCAAGAAAGGGGCCCTCCCACCCTTAGTCTGTGGAGGGCCTTGTGGTTTGTCATTTTATCCTCCAAAGATGACTGTGAGCTGGCTGGATGTTGCGGGTGTCCTGCCAGCCAGGCCTTCAGGTTAATGACCCATTTCATGATACTAAAGCATACTTAGTGGCTTAGTATAATATATTCTTCATTTTAATTTGTGCATTTGTGTATCTGCTGCTCGGTGCAGCCTTCGGGGTAAGCTGTCTTCATGCAGGGTCCGTATTTAAACTCTTACTCCAGAAACTTAATTTTTGCCTGATTTGGCACATTCATCTACATCCGTGGTTGGCAAACCTTTTCTGTAAGAGGCCAGGTGGTAAACATTTTACCCTTTGCGGACCCATAGGAAAGGTCCCTGAGCTCTGCCCTTACCAGGTGAGAGCATCCACAGACAATAATGGGCAGGCTGTGTTCCAATAAAACTATATTTGCAAAAGTGGCCTGTGGACAGGCTGGAGTTAGCAGATGCTTCATGTAAATAAATGGTTAATGTTAACCAAAAAGAGAGTCCATGAGTAAGGAGTCAAGATAAAACAAGGCTAAGATCTCTGTCTCTGGAGTTGGCCAGTAATGCAGGCTCTGTCACTTACCAGCTGTGTTACCTTGGTCAAGTTGCATCTCTCTCTCTCTCTTTTTTTTTTTAAAGATTTTATTTATTTATTTACTTGAGAGAGGGAGAGAGCTTATGTGAGTGAGGGGAGGGGTAGAGGGAAAGGGAGAGAGAATCCCAAGCAGACACCCCACTGAGTGTGAAGCCTAATGCAGGGCTCAGTCTCATGACCCTGAGATCTTGACCTGAGCTGAAATCAAGAGTCTGACCCCTAACCTACTGGGCCACCCAGGCGCCCCAAGTTAGATCTCTTTTCTGTGACTCACTTTCCTTTTATGTTAAAAGAGAATCTTATAGTACCTCTTGTGGGGGAGGTAAAATGATACAAAGACTTTCAGTACATATCAGCTGTTATTGTTTCCCAATTCTTAGTTCATTCCAAAGAAAATTAAAGTTTGGAAATTATAGGGAATGTTAGTAAATAACATCAAGGCTCCCTTTAAAGACATTACCTGGGTCTTTATCAAAAAACACATGACTTATTTGTTATTAGATTAAAATACTCAGTTGCCAGCTTTGAGAGTAACTCCGTGAAAGAAATCACAGTAACATGCCATTAAATGCACTTAGCTTTTTGGATGAAGAGTAGAGCTTTGCTCTCATTACTATTACTAATCCTCGATGAAGAGTTTTATCCTGCTGTTTCTCGAGTTTTAGGTACCCCTAGAGAGCTAGATAGGCGTCAGTCCATTGGTATTGCCATGTTGATGCACAGATCACTGTGTGGTACAAAATTCCAATGTCAGCACTATACTCTCATTTGGGGCAGAAGAACTTTTTTCATATGCAGTACTTTCCTATGCTGCTACTGAATAAAAAAACGTCAGAAGTATTTCTTTTAAAAGATTGATTTATTTAAGAGAAAGCTCGCACACTCGTAAGCTAGGAGAGGGGTCGAGGGAGAGGGGAAGCAGAGCCCGATGTGATGCAGGGCTCGATCTCACGGCTCTGACATCATGACCTGAGCCAGTATCAAGAGTTGGCTGCTTAACCAACTGAGCCCCCCGGGCACCCCCACAGGTATTTTTTTAAAAAGACAGTAAAAGGATAGAGGGGTGTCTTTTAGTTACTCTAAGATCCTGACTTCCTAAGAGCTAACATTTTTTCCCCTTCCTTGAACTACCAGTACTATTGTCACATCATGCAAACGACATTCATAACAAAGACACTCTCTGTGCCTAGAAACACATCTGGACTTTTTTTCCTTACTGGGCCTGTGTCGTGGGTGTGTGTGTGTGTGTGTGTGTGTATTTTACTGATTCCTAAATTTTCTTGATCATTTTTACCAGAACCTTATTTTCAGGCCTTTCTAGTCATGAGCCCATTTTAGCCCCTTTTTCAGAAGTGACCTTAATGGATGGTCTCCCAAAGTATACAGGACTAAGTGGTACAATGTGGCCTATCCTGGGGTGTGAAACGCTTTGATCCTCCAGTCCCATATCAATAAGAAAAACATACAGGTGTCAGTATCTTTTAAATTATAAGCCCCACAGAATGTGGTGTGATGGCTATTTTTCATATTATTATCATTGTTATAAACATCTCCTCTTCGGTAAAGCCGCATGGCTTCCGAAACCATCTCTCTGGCAACCCTGGGTCTGAAAAGCTGGTGGGGACTTTGGACTGGAACTTTCCCACAGCCATCTTGAGGAGAAGCATAGGTTCCACTGGTAGCCTTGTAGGGCATCTTTTATCTTCCTTGGTCAGAGAGCGATAGCTGACTTCTCTTTTTTAATTTTTTTTAATTTGATTTTATTATATTATGTTAGTCACCATACAATACATCATTAGTTTTTGATGTAGTGTTCCACGATCCATTGTTTGCGTATAACACCCAGGGCTCCACGCAGAACGTGCCCTCTTTAATACCCATCACCAGGCTAACCCATCCCCCCACCCCCCTCCCCTCTAGAACCCTCAGTTTGTTTCTCGGAGTCCATAGTCTCTCATGACTTCTCTTTATGGAGATGAATTGTTCAGCTGCAGAGATTAGTTACCTTTCTCCTTTAGAAAGGGTTAGATCAAGTGCTCTTGTAAGAGACAGCGAAGGAACTTCCTTTTGCCCCTCATTGAGAGAGGGGCTCACTCATCTTTAGCGCCGATAACTGGAGGGGTCCAGTGTATCTTCATCTTCTCATTGAGTATTTGAGCAAGTTCTAAGGGGAAAAAAGAACTGTTTTATAATTTTATAAACTTGGTTGAAGCAAAAATCATCTGTCAGAAACTCTAACAGATGTTCATTTCTTTGGCCACTGTAATATCGCTTACCTCATCTATAAAAATTGAAAGAAAGTTGTCAGAATCTCAGATTTCTTTCTAATTTTTCAGTCATTTGGCTGTTTCTCTTGTTCATCATAAAATCAGAATTTTGACAAATTGACCTTCTTTATCCGGCAAGAGCATAAATAAGTTTCTGCCTGTGAACTGTGAATGCTTTGCCTCAGATCTGTACAAGTTCTGCCATTAAAACATTTTGTTCCCATTTAAATTGGATCCTTTCTTTTTGACCATCTTTTTCTTAATAATGGAACTGACTGCCTTTTTCTGTAGTAAGTGTCAGAGAGAGATTTCCAGTGCTTTTTTTATTTCCCCCAGTCTTTCTGGCACTTTCCTTGCCCTATCCATATACCTAACTTCTGTTCTTCCACTTCAAAGTAGATATTTGGGCAAAAGGGCTCCGGGTTTCCCATTTGCATGCAAACTAATTCCACAAATGTTTGCGTGGAAGATGCACTTCTCATTCCAAGGAGGGTATCTGAGAAGAGCCCCATTGCATCGTGCCAGCCGTCTTCGGGATCACTTCTGAATTTAGTATGAACACGGTGGCGCACCTTGCTTCAGGAAGCAAGCGTAGTCTGCTTAGCCTGCTTTTTGTCCTTCCCTGCTCCCCATTGCAACCCTGAAATTCTTTCTCGAAAATTACCAAGGCCCATTTTATAAGCAGAGTTACAAAAAGTCAGTCTCCCTCTCCCTCCCTCTCTCTCTCTCTCTTTTTTTTTAAGTGTCACTCAGCTTCTTGAAGGAACAAAATGTACCAGTGTCATTTTCTGTTCAAATAACTCTCCTACAGGAATCATAAACTTCTCCTCTGGACCTGAACAAATATTCTGTTACCTTTAATGGAACTCTTTTTCTTGCCGGAACAGTAACCCCTCTTGATTTACTGTTCAATCTGTATGAAAAACCTGAGTGACCTAATTCTGCTTCAATTTTCTGTGCTCGTGAGGACACTAAATGAGTCTCCTGCAGTTATGCAGTATTGCTTGTGGTGTTGTTTCTGGAAGTTTAGAATCCTGAATCTCTTTATCAGACTACCTGCTGAATCCCGTTGATGGGGAGATGAAATTGTCTGGAGAGGAGCATTATTTAAAATGAGGATTTCTATTAACAACGACAACAACCACCGCAAGGAGATAAAATTTCCTACATTAAAGGAGCCCCTCCTATACCCTCGCTACCCACCCACCATGTACTGAATCGAACGCATATAATTTTACTCTGGAATCTCCCTTTCCTATTCTATAGTTCAAATGTTTGCACTTTGCACTTCTTGCCTCCCTTTCGTAAAAGAAGGATTCTTTTGTGCCGGGGAAGCTGAGATTCACTGACAAATTACTAGGCCCTTTGGAGAAGCAGACATTTTGGGAAGGAGTGCCCCCCCCACACACACACCGGCTCCCCACCTGCTCTGAGGCTCCATCTGCCCCCAGTCCCTGCCTCCCTCCACCCCCACCCAGTCTGTGTGATTTAATCTCTATACTCTCAGCCCCGTTGTCCTAAGATTATTTGTTTAGTCCTATTTCCACAGACCTTTAGAAGATTAAGGAAAAGCAGCTATGCCACTAATTTCACACCTGACCCGCTTTGTCAAAGAGAGAAAACCAGAATATCAAGGGATGATTGGAGTTCTGGGATATTCAAATGAAAAAGGTCTGCGGTAAATCTAGAACCAAGGAAGTAGCATGACCAAATCAATGGCCCTCATCTACCCCGCTGTAATATTTATTTTTCCTATAGTACGGCCTTCCTTCTACATGAGTAAAGTTGTTCTGTTTAGGGTGTTGTTTTTTTTTTTTCTCGTTTAAATTACATATTTGGAAAAAAAACATAATAGGTTTTTCTGTCAATATTGTACTTAAGATGCATCATCTTTGGCTATATTTGGAGATTTTTGGCTATGTCGCTATTTAAAAAATTGAATTGGACAAATGAAATGGACCTTTGTTCCTACGGTGAAAACTAAAAAAAACCCATGATCATCATCCCATGAGTATCAATAGTAACAGAAATGTGAAAGAATGTTGGGTAAGCCTGAACAATTTGATCAAAGGAGTAAAATGGTGGAAGTTTATTATTTTTTATTTATTTTATTTTTCTATTTCAAAACTGATGGAAGTTTCTTATTGTTGTTTGCGCTCACAAATGTTTAGTCTGTCGCACAGTTAAACCACTTAAAGGTGTGATTGCTTGTGTTGGTACCTACAGCTGAAATAACAGTATGATAACAATGAGAGTACCCCTAATAGCACATTATGACGATAAATCATTCAGTAAATCAGAATTAATAACGTGTGTACCAAATAAGATAGGAATCTGTCATAATAGTGTTTCCAGTGAAGTCAGTGAAAAAAATATGTGTCTCTTACTATCATTTTCGAAGTTTTGAAAAAAATGACATTTCCTTCTCTACCAGAGCAAACAGCTGTAAGTTTGGTTTTGTTGTTGTTGTTGTTGTTGTTGTTGTTGTTGTTTTTAAAGCACTCATTCTGATATTCGGGCCAAATGAAGTATTAAGATATTTTGTGACATCGGGCGCCTGGGTGGCTCAGTTGGTTAAGTGACTGCTTTCGGCTCAGGTCATGATCCTGGAGTCCCGGGATCAAGTCCCGCATGGGGCTCCCTGCTCAGCGGGGAGTCTGCTTCTCCCTCTGACCCTCCCCCTCTCGTGCTCTCTCTCTATCTCATTCTCTCTCTCAAATAAATAAATAAAATCTTAAAAAAAAAAAGATATTTTGTGACATCTAGGTAAGACACGATATTACTTTTTCATGTTAACACAGAGCATCATAAAGGCTGACAAAACCATAATACGGATTTGCATTTATTTATTTATTTATTTATTTTACTTTTTCTTTTTTTTTTTTACGATTTTACTTTTTAAGTAATTTCTACACCCAACGTGGGGCTTGAACTCACAACCGTGAGATCAAGAGTCTCATGCTCCACTGACTAAGCCAGCCAGGCGCCCTGCATAATATGAATTTTTACAAAAATCTTTAATTATCATCTTTTAGAGTTGAGGTCCAGGAAAGCGGCAGTTAGGAAATGTATATTAATTATCTACGGTGTCACTGCAGGTATCAGGCGAATCACTAGCTCTGTGAAGTCTGCCTGTTTCTTGCTATCTCCAAACCTGAATTTTCTCATCAGTAAGATGGGACCATTATTAGCATTTACCTTGTAGGGGTGCGTGTGTGTGCACGTGCGTGTGTGTGACAGAGACAGAAGGAGAGAGGGAGGGAGGAAGAATTAAAGAAAATTGTGCATTAGATACACCTTAGGGTAGTTAATGTTAACTTAATTTAACTTACTACCTTTTACTGTTCTTCATGAAATCTATTCCAAGACACTCCTGCCCCAAATTTGGAGGGAGGTAGTTCTAAAAATAGATTTAAGTGGCGTGTAATTATTTGTAAGGATAGGATCCAGGCGAACTCTGGAGCCAGTTTATATGGGTAACAGTAAAAGTATCCCAACTGAGTGAAGAAAGTGAGATGTCTTTTCTCTTCTCATCTGCCTTTATTATGAAGAAGGGCCTGCAGTTATATTTTTGAGGCTGTCTGGGATGAGAATCCCCAGCAATCCTTTTCTAGAAATTCGTACTTTTTAAACACTGTTACTTTACCATCTCCTGCTGCGCCAAGCCTGATTTTTAAAAATGCCCAATTTGCCTCTTCTTTTCTCAGACAAGCACTGCTCATAGAGGAAGTGGTTGTGGTTGGCAGGGCTCTCTCTGAATGTTTTGGGTTGGCTGATTTCTGTGGCCTCAGCAGCACCTAAAACTGCTCTTGTTCACTCAGCTTTAACGGCTGTTGTCCTCAGCATCTTGACAAGGAGGGCAAATAGCCCAGTTGCCTGGGACAGAACTAGAACTTAAGAGGAAAACTCTTGTGTCAGCTCTGCGCTCTGGCTGGCTGGGTGTTTGGGAGCCAATCCCACGGTCCTATCTCTCGTTTTCCCTCTGTTCAAGACAAGCTATGGCACTTGACTTCCCTCCTAGATGTATCATGAGCCCTTCTTCTTCTGGGTGTTAGAGAGAGGTTAGTGAAGAAGGCCAGAGTGTTCGGTAACACGTAGCACCTGTCTGCGTTCATGCAAAGGTAGCTTTTCTCTGTTTAACGTCAGAAACTCTAGTTGGGTGTCAGAAATTGGCCCACCAGCAACGTCTGGAATGTGTCTTGCCAGGAACTTAGACCCGCGAGGATTATTGTTTATCATTAAGGCTAAATCGTAATGTATATTTCCACCTCTCCCTTCCCTCATTTCATCGTCTCCTCTAGGCTCCAGGCTCGCATAGCTCATAGGATACAAGAACTGGAAAATCTGCCTGGCTCTTTGCCACCAGATTTACGAACCAAAGCAACCGTGGAACTGAAAGCGCTTCGGTTACTCAATTTCCAGCGTCAGGTAATACCTTTTCCCCAGTGAATCTGAGATGTAGGAAACAAATGTAAGTCTGTTCAATATTGTTAGAAAGATATAAACTTAGTAAAATAGTATATCTTTTAGACCAGCCGCGTAGAGCTAAAAGTAATGAAGATGAATTGCTTATTATTCTATACATATATATTTTTTGCTTCTGTATATCAGAGACATTTTTTTTCCTTCCATATTATGGTTTCCACAGTCAGAGTAATGGCATTTTGTTACCGTGGATGAAACCTCGAGAACAAATGGGATAGCTTGCCTTTACGAGTGCAAAGAAAAACAAGAAGGTGGGAGAGCAGGATCAGAGCCTCTTTTGTAAACACAAATGTAAAATCCTAGCCATGACGATGAAAGTAATCTTAACAAATACGACAGCCACTCTGCTAAATGAATAAGTCATCATTTACAGAAACACATAAAACTGTTTGTCCCCATCACACCCCCACGTGGTGACTGATCAGTGGACGATCATCTCTTCTTCTTGCTCTGGTTCTTAGTAGTTAGTGATGAATCAAAGCTAGCATGATGATCTATTTTATCGTTGCTAAATTACTAGGGAAACAAAGGAGCAATAATTTTTACGTTGGTGAGTTTGGCTTTGTGGACCCAAAAGGTGCCGGTCTCCTGGTCTACACACTGCCTCATTTAGCCAAAGGGGAAGAGGAGCGCGTATTTCTCAGGCCGGTGGGTTGACTTGGTGAAAGTCTGGGGGGGTGCAAAATGAATTATTAATGAATGAAAGGAATTTGCATGACTCGGTCTGTTGCAGGATGTGACTGAAATCGCAAAGCCACCCCCACTTGCCTCTGTCCTATGAACCTGGGAGTATACTTGCCCTCTTGGTTATAATGTCACAAGAGGACATCCATGGTGGTGGGGAACTAGCTGGCCACAGCTCTGTGGGAGTAAAAGAAGTTAAAAGGCTCTGAGTCCCATTGACTTCCTTTCTTACAGGCGACGTCCTACCATGCATTGATAAAGTGCTTGATCCAGTATTGTTAAATGATTAATAACCAAGTAGATTTTCACAAATGAGATTATATTCAGATTCGCTTCACCATGCTGGACTCTTATCAGTTTCTGATTTTTTTCTTGATATTGTGGAAAAATCCATGATCTATGGAGTTTCCCAGTGAACTAACTCTAGTGGATGCTGATTTGAGGTTCAGTCGAATTCCTATTTTAATGTATATTCCCAACCCCAACCCCCGGCTACCACCACATAACGTCCAACATGGATAAGATATCACATTGATGATAATCTAAGGGAAGTCCATGATACAGTGTGAAACCTAAACGTCTTGACAGATATCCTCATTGGGAGTGGGAGGAAGCCAACGCCAAGATCTCCCATCTTTCGTATGAGAATGAACATTGCATTAATAGTGTTTGAGTACCTGCTGCTACTGTACATGAACAGGAAGTCATTTTTCCACTCTTTTTTGCAGAGATCATTAAACTTCACCTCTAGACACAAAGAGAATGTTAGTATGGCACTTAAAATGAAGTAAAATATTTCAAAAGCTCTTTAACTAATTAATATCATTAGAATAATTAAGCGGGATGAATGAATTTATTTAAAACCCCAAGACAATGTTGGCTTTTTTTCAGTGTCATGGTGCTGGGTTCTTTGTTTGTTTTGGTTTTTTGTTTTTTTTGGTTTTTTTTTTTTTTTTTTTTTTTTTTTTTTTTTTTTTTTCCTTAATCTGAATGGCTTGGAAAGAAAACTTATGCCATCTTTGAAAACACCACATAAATTTGGCACGGTTTAGTCCCTTGGTTGACAGAAAGGTCCGCTCTGGTGGTGCACCTTCTAGAGCCCCCCGTGTGCCCACACTGACCGGGAGCTAGGGCAGGGCAGGGCCCAGGAACCAGGCCTTGCATCTGGCAAGGCTCTCCAGCCACTCTCCCCCGACCCCACACACAGCTGAGACAGGAGGTGGTGGCCTGCATGCGACGGGATACCACGCTGGAGACAGCCCTCAACTCCAAAGCCTACAAACGGAGTAAGCGCCAGACGCTGCGGGAGGCCCGCATGACAGAGAAACTGGAGAAGCAACAGAAGATCGAGCAGGAGAGGAAGCGTCGGCAGAAGCACCAGGTACCGAGGCCTGGGCTGTGTACCCCCACGCTGGCAGAGATGCCCCGACTGAGCCCTCAGGAGGGGTCTGGAGGCCTGGAGAATGAACTGGGGTGCACGGTGGGAACATCGCAGAGCAGAAAGGCTCCCGGGAGCTCCCGTGGGCAGACTGCCCCATGGAACAGGCGGGGGGTAAAAACAGGCCACGCCAGGGACATGGGCGGCCTGCCCATGGCCTCCTGTGGCGGGGATGAGATGGGGGACCCTGCTTTCTGGATACCAGGCAGGTACCCTCTTCACCACCCCACCCGCAGCTGCCCACCGGATGGGCACAGGAGAGTTGCCAGGGGCAGAATCCTCAGGAGCAGGAACTTGGAAAAGGAAAGAAGAGAGCACATGGTTATTTTTATAGCAAATATAAATACAGTCTCCTGGGCTTTTCCAGGGCCCAGTTGGAGGTTTCATAGGGGCAGATATTAAAACATTCCTTTCTAGGCATTTGGAAGTAGTTTGATGGAGGGTTTGATTTTGCATGACGATCCTAGACATTGTGTTTGTTTTCCTGTGCTTAAATTAAGGCCCGCGTTAGTTTCATTTTGAAAGATGTTAGCTGTCCATTGGTACACGTTTCCTCTCCTGTCTTTCAAAAGTCGATCCAAATAAGGTGGAGGGGTGGCGAATGATGGTGCTGAGGCATTTGAGTTAGAGCAGACGGGGCATTACTTTTATAACCTGGTTCTCCCTGGAAATATCCGCCTACCTTGGGTTGACTGGAGGGTGATTTGCTTTCAATTCTATCCTTGCCCGTTTTGCAGGCATCTGTCAGTCCTTGATCTTGCTGTTTTCACGAGGCCCTATATCTTTGAGGTCCTAGAGGCTTCCCTTCCACAAGCTGGTGCCTTTGAGAGGCTGCTCTTCCCACTAGCCCCAAAGCCCACAGCTCAGCTACCAAGAGACATCCCAGGGCACCTGCCCCACAGAAGGTTCTAGTCTTCTGCTGTTGTGAAAGGCTCCCTAAGCGTTTTCTTGGGCTCCACGGAAACCTCGGATGACACTGGGAAGTAGATTTTAAGTATCCTTTTCCCTCCTCCCTTTGGGGTCTGTAGGAATACCTGAACAGCATTTTGCAGCATGCAAAAGATTTTAAGGAGTACCATCGGTCTGTGGCCGGGAAGATCCAGAAGCTATCCAAAGCAGTGGCAACTTGGCATGCCAACACTGAAAGAGAGCAGAAAAAAGAGACGGAGCGGATTGAAAAGGAAAGAATGCGGAGACTGATGGTAAGGGGCTCACCTGCGGGGACCCCGGGCAGTGGGGTTCCGGCATGCACCTGTATTGAGAATGTTAAATATGCCATCTCAAGAGTGGGTAAAAGCGGCTTATCAAATATATGAACACGCCCCTTTGAACTTCATATGGATGGAGTAAAAACATCTCCTTCCTGAACGATGCATGCCACAAACCCAGGGCCACAGCTCATGAGTATATAATATCTCCATGTCCTGGGGTGGCCTTGCTGTGCAGAATATAGCTTCTCCCATCAAGGCAGGTACCCCAGTTCACAGGAGGTTTAACAACCAGATCTAGAAGGATGGATATGCTTGTTCTTTTTAAAATATTGCCACTTTGAGACTAATGACACAAGTTGTTTTGAGCGAATGTGTCATTAACTTGTGTCTTGGACTCGAAGGTCTGTTTCTTGAAGCCGCTGGTGCTTATCCCCCACCCCCTTTTTTTAATGGTAGAAATTTCTCCCTGCTAGTGTAATAAGTGATTTTTAAGTTAACTTTGGAATGTTACTTGTTTGGTTAAGGCTGTGTTACTGTCAAAGGCTATTCATGGATCGTTACCTTTGTGCTGTTATTTTTTAATGGGTAGATACATACAGAAGGGATCAGTTTACATCATTGGCCTGGGAGTCTGGTTTTATTGACCATTCATTTTTGGAATTGGACCTGAGAGCACACTGTGGGTTTTAGAAAAGCGTGCGTGATCTCTAATGATAGGAGAACTGCACATTTCTACCTGGGACATAATGGCCGAGTATGGGATGGAGATGAAATCGTTAGCTTTGGCCCTTAATTACATCTCTGGAAAATTCCAGGTGACACTGTCTTCATTGGTGGTATTATGGTTTGCATTTTGTTTTCATTACCTTTTTTGGATTCCAGAGAGTAAACACCATATTTTAAAAGGCTCTGCGTCCAGGTAGCACTAAATCTTACCATCTTCTCCCACCTCCCTCTCTATTTTGGGGGGAGGGGGCGGGGAAGGAGAAGACCGTCCACAAGATTTCCACCCAGCTAGGGAGGCCATTTTTATAATGGTCTGAGCAGCAAGCAGTCAAACTTGTCTGATTCAGCTGGAGAGAAACTGTATTAGAACTTCAGTAACAGATTGGCTTGACACTAATGATTAGGCATTTGCAAATCATTAATTTTTGCAATTAAATGATGGAATATACAGATAACAGAGAAACTGAAGTTTTTTATCACTCTTTCTTCAAGTGAGATCAACCATAACCAAAAGCAATTAGAGTTATAATAGCATTTGAGGTTCGTGCTCATCCACGGGGCAGACAGCAGCTAGACTGAGTGATAAAACTTCCGTCACTCGGGGAGAAGCTGGAGTGACGCCCCTGGACTGAAGACCCTCAGCTCGGCTGCGGTGCACTTGCCTCTTGAGGATTTTGTGACATGTCCCTTTTATCCCGTGTCATACTGGGGAAAATATTTTGAGATGTCCTTTTATTGGGACGTATGAAAGAGATTTCTCCTGAAATGGCTCCGACGACATCAGAGTTTTTATGGCATTTAACCTCATAATGTTGCTTAATGGGAGGCAGAGGTGGAAATCACCGTATCTGTGTTATTGCTCAGCAGTATCGGACTCCGGGTGCTAAATGCCTTGCCTGTAGTCACCTAGGCCCACCCTGCTGTGCTGATCGGTGACAAAAATCCCCCCAGATTTGGCATTTGCTATCAACCACCACGTTTGTAATGCTTTTACATACGAGAAGTTAACACTAGGTCAAAGCCCTTTTGAGCCTTTGCCCTTAGACATGCTTATTGAAATGTTTCTGAACGGAACCATAGTATGTCTGGAATCGGCCGCAGTCGATTTTGGGATCGGGCAGGGGAGTTGCGGGAAGGGTAGCCATGCGACAGGAGTCTTCCTGAGTTCATTTCGGGTTGCTTGGTGTTGGTTATATGAGAGACTATACTCTTCTCCTCACTTTGGGTTGTTCTGGAAAATTTCCATGCTTCCAAGTGAAGGATACACTCGGATGGTGAATTGTCAAATTTTCACATCTTTGTGTGTGTGTGTGTGTGCAAAGAAACCTCGAAAAACACAGAACTGAGTCAAAGTGCTTGCCCACACCGGGTAAATAGTGTGGTTTTGGGTCCCGACTCCACCACGGAGCCCGTGTCCTGGGACTCGGGCAGGCATTGCCCTCCCAGGCCGCACCCCAGCCCCGGATTGTGCATGGTCACTCCCGCAGCCTGGGTCATTCCATTCGCTGTGCTCACCACCAGTCAGAGTTCAGACGGTGATGGGGAGCGCTGAGTGGAAACTGGAGTTGCCATCCCATCTTTACCGTGCTCCGATCATGTCCCTCTTTCCTTAATAGGCTGAAGATGAAGAAGGCTATAGAAAACTGATCGATCAAAAGAAAGATAGGCGTTTAGCGTACCTTCTGCAGCAGACCGATGAGTATGTGGCCAACCTGACCAACCTGGTGTGGGAGCACAAGCAAGCCCAAGCGGCCAAGGAGAAGAAGAAGAGGAGAAGGAGGAAGAAGGTGAGTGCTCTCACGGTGTGGGCGAGGGAACCAGGCGCGCCGGCCGGGATGCTGGAGGTGAGCGTGCAACGGCGGGGTTGGGGGGGGCTGAAACGGTTCAGGCCGTATTTTCCTTGTTCCGTAGCGTGTTTCAAAATGAAGCATACAGGGTCAATAGAAAAAGGAAAAAAAGACGTGGGCACACATAAGTGTTTGCTTGAGGCGAATGCTGGTGCGGTAGGGCCATGAAAATGGAGCAGAAAGGGCAGGGTGCCGTTGGAAGGAACCCAAGGAAGGTGTGAGGGATGGCTTTGGGTTGCTTTCAGAGCCCCCCTGAGCCTGTTTGTTCAGATGGGCAGCCATGCCCAAATGGTGCGTTCCATTCAGCTGCCCCACTGTGGCGCTGAGGGGAGTGGGCAGGCCAGGGTTTTCGGTCACTACCAAGGATAGTAAATGTTTTTTTTTTTTTTTTTTTTTTAAGATTTTATTTATTTATTCATGAGAGACAGAGGAGGAGAGAGAGAGAGAGGGAGAGAGAGAGAGAAGCAGAGGGAGAAGCAGGCTCCCAAGGAGCAGGGAGCCCGATGCAGGACTTGATCCCAGGACCCTGGGATCATGACCTGAGCCGAAGGCAGACGCTTAACCATCTGAGCCACCCAGGCGCCCCAAGGATAGTAAATGGTTTTATGTAAAGTAGAACCTAATCAGCACGGAAAGGGAAGGGGAAGATTTAGAATCTCTACTTTGCGGTTATATCTCGATGCAGGTGTAAGCAGCCCGTGTAGGCCAGTGAATGTAGATCCTCTTTGAAGCTGGAGTGGTCTGGAGGTTTACTTCTTGGTTCGTATTTTGTTTTATGGCGGATCCTGACTGGCCTTGACACACATGTCCACAGGAAAGAGAAAGTCTTCGTCGAGGTCGTGAGGAGTGAGGCTGGGTGGCTTTTCATCATGTATTCTCTGCACTAAATCATGGAACAAAGTGTTTTTCAAAAAAATAATTAATTTCATGGCTCCTGAATTCTCATACCTGCTTCGTAATTAAGGGGGAGGAATAAATGATGGAGAAGGCGCTTCCTTGTGCCCGACTCCTTTGGTATAAGATAGCTTCCCGCTTTGTGAAGATGAACAAGGGATGACTCAGGGCTTGGATTTAGACATTTCGTCGTCGCCGGGGAGAAAGACCTCATTTTCTTGTCAAGGTAGCATTACAGACTTTGCAGAATTCCAGCTCCCAATTTCTGACTTAAAAGGACGTGTTCAGAGTCAGGGAAGAGCACACAGGCAAACAGATAGGATTCTGTAACATTCCATAGGGGGACCGTATGAAATGACCGTTGTCATTTTTCCTAATGCAGAGGTTGTATTTTGCAGAGGTTACCACAGAAAGGTCACCGTCAGTGTTTTCGGTACTAAAGTTCAAATTCTACATTTTGCTTGTGATTAAAAGCTAATGGCCCAGACTTGTGCTTCTGGCTTATAATTAATAGACTCCTGGCATGATATGAGATTGTTATATCATTGTCAGCAGAGAAAGATATATCACTGAGTGATAGTGATTATGCCTGTATTTTTGTGTTAATCTGTACAAAGCAGGAACCTGTCATAATATTTTTCTTGGTGCTGCCAACCCCACGTGATCTATAGGTTGGCTCTCCACTTCCCAGCCCTTGCCTTCGGGTTTGCTGATAGCAGGCATTCTTTCTCTTTTATCCATTTGTCCGGCAAATACTAACTGGATGCTTACTGTGAGCCAGGCAAAGTGCTCAGTGCTGGGGGAGAAAGAAGGAGATGTTGAGGAAAAGCACACTTGCCCTCTCTCTCAGTTCCATCAGACAGTGAGAGACAGAGAGACATTGATCAAATACACACCCAAATAGATAATCATAAACCACAATGAACACTGTGAAGGAAGACTGGGAGCCAGACTGGGGAGGGGGCCTGGATTCCTGGCAAATGAAAAGTCCATACCGAAGCCAGTCCCACTCCCGTCTGCTGGTTAAGAATCTCTGGGTGGCTCCCGCTGGTTATCTGCACGTGATTGAATGTGCAGAATCATTATTTTATCATCGGCTCTCTGCCTCTTCCCTGGCGTGCTCTCAGGATGCCTAGCATTGGAGCTCGCCCTGCCTTCATCAGGACTGAGGGGCCCGGCTGGATTTCCTCCTAGAGCCATCTTGCTGGGACGAGTGGGATAAGGAAGGAAACAAAAGAAGCGCAGCCCCTCCCCAGTCCTTCCTGAAAACTGTCCCTTTCGTGGGGCTTTGAGACTTGGTTCAAAACGAGTTAGCCAATTCCAGATGCTTTATTCAAGTGCAAAGAAGATGGATGCTTTCAAAAGCTGATTATTTGACAGTCTGGATTATCTGTAGTTCTTCCCTCCATTAGAGTGAATGATTGAGGGTGGCTTGTTCCAGCTTCTCTGTTGGGGAGGAAGGCTGTGTCCAGAAGCTTAAAAATTCTGTGCCGACCCTTTCAGCTCTTCCCACAGAACCGAGTATGATGCTGTGCCTTTCTGGAGGTTGTTTTTTGCAATTAAGCAAGGCCTCAATAAGCCTTTGTTTTCCATGAGCCAGTGGACCAACAGCATTGTACTATGGCAACCGGTACGGGGAGAGCTAGGGTACAGGTGCCTCTGTCTACACTGTTATAGGGGAGTGTGGTTGAACTTGTGATTTCATTGGAAAAGGATTTTTTTTTTTTTTAATATTGCCCCAGTGTAACAGAGAAGGCCTCTTTCTGGGGAAGTGTGTTGTGTTTCCTTGTTGTTGGTAACCAGGAGAGTGGGTCTCCTTGAACCTGCCATGAGCATGTTTGCACCTCTCTTCTCACCATTAGAGCCGCTACTATGAAGTATACATTTATACATCATTCTGGAACTTCTCGCTCTCAGCCCCCTCTTCCATTAATGCCCTTGAAGTGAAAGAAAAGGAAGTGAACTATATGTATCTACCTAGGTGTTAGAGGAGGAATAATTTGCAAAGTATTGAAATATCTAATTAAGTGAAACCAGCCTTTGCAGTGTGACGGGATTAATGTACTCTGATGTGCACTCAGCATGACCTTGAGGTCTCTGTCCTCTCCCATGATTGGTCTCTAACATCTGCAGGATAAAAAAGGACTCGGGGCTACATAAAGCCACCAGGGTGTGTACAAATAGGAATGAGTATGCTAACGTAGAAAATTGGGCCCACGGCCCAAGAGCTCATGTCAGTCTGCAAACTTTTAAGTTCCTAACTGCGGAAGAAAACATACCCTCCTAATTTGCTTTTATTCCCTTATAGAATGTTTCCTTAAAAGATCTGTTGCCTAGTGCTTCTGATCGGTGAGGAGGTGATAGGATTACATGAAAGTGTATCTAAAGCATTTAGAAGGTATCCTGGCACATAGTAAGTGCCCAGTGAATAGTAGTTATTTTATTAAACAATTCTGTGGTATAAAGGTAGGATAGCAATTGTTGAAAAGTAGTTATAAGAGTTTTTTCTTTTTTAAGAAAATCTTCTTTTTTCCCCATGTTGTATATTCTCTATGATGTTGGGAGAATAAATGTTTTGCTACCATCCCCTCCCCACCCCCGCCCCAGTTAGGATCAGTTAGGTACCGGATAGTATGTCTTTTTGGACAGTGGCAGGTTCTTTGACCATTGAGGCATGCAATTGGAAATGAGGATTTATACTTTTTGGTGGACTCTGCTTACCCCTCCCTTGCTAGCTCCTGCAAAGAGAATTTGCTAATTGTGGGGCCTCTCATTTGCAGCGGTTCCTGGTGGTAATCATTAGGTGGTCCTTGCAGAACTCTAGGGTATCTTTCTTTAAGCTCTGGTTATGTGTCCAGGACAGCCGCCACCCACCCCCCACCACCTCCCATGTCCAGCCTAGTTCAAGAAGTCCAGTCCCTTCATGGGTTCCATCTCCTGAGCTGTTGACTTCAGGAGGAAAATAAATATTTAATTCCCTCTTCCAGATCTTTGAATGCAGCGTATACCAACAGAACTGCACCCTTGTTGTGAATGTGTGACATTTCTTGGAAACTCATGACACTAACAGGAACCAGCGGAGAATCCATGGGGGACCGCTCTGCCAAGTATTTTTTTCATCGTGGTGTTTGCTCTTCCTTCTGAAAGTTCTTTTATTCTCTTTCTCAGCAAACACTGTTATAAGCATATCTCAGGACTGCAATGTTTTGGAAGGGGGAAATCTTTCTGGCACAGCATTCTACACTGGTCAATATAGCAATAGGAAGTGTGTTTTTATCCTTTTTAGATATCGACAAATCAGAAAAACCTCCTGGTATAATTTTTGGTGAAAAGAGCATGAGATACAAAGTAGTAACATGATTGAGACATTTCTTTTCAATTCAAGTTACTCTCCAGTTCTTCTCAATTCTTTTCTCTCTCCTTTTTTCCCCCAAGATGAAGATTCTCCCCTGCAAGGAGAATTTCACAGGTGAAAGAAAGGTTCTTTTTTTTTCTTCAAAGATTTATTTCTTTATTTTTTTAGAGAGAAAGAGAACATGAGCAGGGGGAGGGACAGAGAGAGAGGGAGAGAGAATTCCAAGCCGACCACGTGCTGAGCTCAGAGCCCGACGTCGGGCTTGGTCTCCGGACTCTGAGATCATGACCTGAGCCAAAACCAAGAGTCAGATGCTTAACTGACTGAGCCACCCAGGTGCCCCCAGAAAGAAAGGCTCTAAGGTAATTCTGGGCAATTTGAGTATAGGGACTGTGGTAACGGTAGGTGAATACAATGCCACAGTGATCAGATTCATTAGATTCATTTGATTAGTCCAGTATCAAAATGGGTGAAAACAGAAGTTTGGATCCAAGTCCTGCTTAACTGGATTGACCGGTTACTTGAGTCAAAAATGTTGGAATTGGCTTTTTCTGCAGGGTGTGACCAAAGTAATGTGTAATTGCCTGTTAATTTGATATTCTTGGGTCTTTTTTGTGGCCTGATCACCTATCACAATGCTCAGAGGTCCACCTAAATGACAGTAAAAATAACCCAGGTGGTTTCTGGAAGCTTAGGTTTCCACTGAAACAGAATGAGCCTTTAAGATGCCGGCACCTTTGAACGTTGCTTCAGCAGATTATAAGAACACCTGCTGGGGGATAAAATGTACTCACTTTATAATATAAATTGTAAAATTGTAAAATATTTGGTACAAAACTGTTTCTTCACAGATTGGGGCTATTTGTGGCCCCTGTTACGGCAATCTGAGTGAAGCACCCCGCTGGAGTTCGCATTCCTGAGTTCGGCTTACAGGGGATTTTCCCATCTTGGGGTTCCTTTACCTCCTTACCCCCGTTGATTATTTTCTATAGCTTCTGCCAGGAGGACAGGTAGCAGTGCAAACAGCTTGGTGAACCTTCCCAGATGGAATTTCTAAATTGCCGTTGGCCTTGCAAGTTGGGAAGCCACCTTGTTTTTAGTTATGAGTGATGTGTTCCATATCCCCTCCCATCACTAGGAGAATTACCCTTCCCCCTCCCTCCAGCAGCATAATCAGTTCCCGACTCTTGGTAGGTAGGAAGAACCCAGGACAGAGTTCCTTTAGTCCTGATTAGTGGGTGAACGACAGCGGATCGTTTTGTTTTTAATCAGTGGAAAAAATTAAGCTCAGGCATCCACTGGTCACGTATGATGTGTTTGTGATCGCATGATGGAGATAACCCCATGTGAAGGTTCCCCAGTTGGTGGGAGACATGGTGGCACCAATTGCAATTTGTTTGGAGTTAATCTTGAACCAAGAAAAGGGAAGCGTTTTTTTGTTTTGTTTTGTTTTGTTTTCTGGGGAGAGGGTTGGGCAGCGAGGTTAAAGCACCCCACCCGTATGATGTGAGGACCAGAGATTGTCACCCAACTGAAAGAATCCAAGGCATGATGGGAGAACGTGTTGTCTCTTGTCATAGAGAAGGCTGCCACCTGGATTCCACCTCATGTAACAACGGCAGGATTGGGTGTAAGTTCAGGGGCGCAAGAGACCTCTCATGGAGCGCCCGTTCAGTGAGGAATTGTGTGTGTGTTCTTAACTGTTTTATGGCTTGCAAATAGACTGGCCTCTAATTACAGTAAGGATGACTCACTGAGTGTGTGCTAAGTGGAAAGCATTGTTCCGGATGCTTTCCTTCCTCCCTTCATTCACCAAATATTTACCTAGTACCTTTCATGCACTAGGACTCCTGGTAGGTGTGAGAACACACGAATGACAAAAACAGAAGTCCCTGACGTCAGGCAGTGCTATAGCCAGTCTCGCAGGGGTGTCATTGATCATTGACTCTTTTGCATTGTGGAGATGGACGCTGGCCATATATATTTCATGGAGCCTGGGATCGTGCGTCCTGAAACGGTGGTCCCGTTCTGCCTCCACCCTTCAAGGGAGGGACTGTTACTGTCCCTTTTTTTACAGAAGAGGGAACCAAGACACGGAGATTTGCTCAAAATCTCACAGCTAAGATCTCTTGTACTGAGCGGCAGAGCTAGGATTCAGACACTGGTGGTCTAGTCCCAGCACCAAGTTTCTTAAGTCTCATGTTACATTGCCTCTCGAATTTGATGCCGAATGGAATGTTTAAAATGAGTTTAGAGGATTTTAAGTAAAGGAAGGGCCTGATGGTGGGGCAGTTTTTAGATACCACTCTAGCGAGTCAATAGCATATTCATAGAAGACTACCCTTTAGAATGGTTTTGAATCTATTATTTATGGTCCTGCAAGCTCTTTAATGTACTATTCATTGAGACGGCGATCCAGTTCCACTAGCTAGATATTGGAAATTGGCTTATCCATTGTCTCATTTGATTTTCTTTGTTGGCCAAATTTGTAGCTTATTTCTGATTTGTATGGAAAGAATGGTGGGATTAATTGACTTTCTCCCATTAATTAAAACAGTCGCCTGAGTATAGTGCCTGAGAATTCCAAAAATGGAACTGTTAGGGGCAGGTTGAAGGGGTGGGTTTTTTTCCGAGCTTTTCTGCCATTGTTCTCTGTATTCGTAGCCTAGACACAGGGCCTAGCTCTTTTCAATGCTGATCATTACTTTTGAGCCTGTAAACGTTTCACTTGCGGGTGGCATAGATAGAAAATTAAATTCTTGGGAAATCCTAACCAAAGGGAGTGTTTTATTTCCTACTCTTTGGTAGAAATGCTACATTTTTTCATGCCTTGTGCTTTGGCATACATACATACATACATACATACATACATGTATTTCTTGTAAGAAAATTTTGAAAAGAACTTCAAAAATTTCAAACGTTTATGGGAACTGCTTTTCTTCAGCATAGACAAAAGGTTGGATTTTGAACGGTTTTTTAAAAGCTGTTTTGTCAAGAGACAATTGAGTCATTTTCATGGAAAGCAAAAATGTATTATATAATCAATGCCTTAAGTAAACAAAGTAGAGTTAATATCGATTCTGTATCATTATATATATTTTTAATTAACTAAAGAGCCCATGGGAGGAAAGCTCATTTTCTTAAATGTCTTAAAAAAGGAAATGACTAAAGTTGTGTTTTGTTTTGTTTTTTTCCTTCATGCAGAAGTAGTGTAGCTTTTCAGCAATAACTTTAAAATAAGGATTCTGTAAAGGTGATGGTAAAGATTTCACTTGTCAGAAACGTTGTCATAAATGTAAGAAATTTGAGGCTCTTTTGTGTTTATTGCAGATGAGACTCTCTCGGGTATGTACAAAACGTGACATAATCTTAGCTTTTCATTTAGGCTGCCTTTGAGGCACATAGAGGTTAATGGACTAAGATACTGAAATATTTAAGAAATGGCCGATGACAGAATTTTTCATGAGATCACAGTATCTGCATCAAATTTCCTCATATTACCCACCGCGGAAATACTATATAGTATGAAAAGGTAGAATGGAAAACATCCAGAGAATTCACAGAATGTTGTATGATTCTGTAATTTTATGACTCAAGAGCGGTTCCAAGTTTACCTGTGATGGACATTTTTAGAAAACTTGCTAAGGGGAGTAAGAAAGTTGAGCTGGTTATGTCAGGATTTGTCTTCCTGGTGCCAGACATGAGAAGGACATCTCACACGTGCTGACCTCAGCCATGCGGCTCCTGTGTCTCCAGCTCTTTGGGTCCTGGAAGACGTCATCCACAAATCTTTGGCATGGGCCAGCCTTGAATCACACCTGGCTTCCAGGAACTTCCTCCAAGTTGCCAGTAAAACAACAACAACAAAGAAAAACACACACTTTTTCTCAGACAGTGCAGAGAAGTAGAAATAGAAGGCCTCAGTACTTAAACTCTGTTAGATGACAGTGGTGAGTAGTGATGAAGTGCTGTTTGGGGCCACTGAGTTGCCACAACATCCTTCCTATAGCATCTTCTTGACTGACGTGTAAACATCTGACCTTGCTTTGCAGAAGGCTGAAGAGATTGCCGAGGGAGGAGAGTCTGCCCTGGGACCAGATGGAGAGGTGAGGAGTTTTGTACCCATTCCTGCCATGTTCTGCTCAGTGAGTCCCCGCCATGCCCTACGGCACCATTTTCTGTGAATACCAACTTTATTTTTACTCACCTATTCATTTCTAAGTAAAAATAGTAAAACATTAGCATAGTAGAAAATTAGACGAGTAGAAAAAGGATATACTGGAAAGTAATCGCCTTCCGTCTCAGACTGGCAGTCAACTGATACTAAGTTTGTGTACCATTCCAGGGTCTGCTGTGCACATACATGTTTATGAATACATAGAATGTGTAAAAATCTCAAGTGATTCTATAATTGCATTTTCCCCGTAAATGATACAGAAGCATAAGATATGACCCAGTTTCCTTAGTGTATTACTAATTTGAGATTATAAAACTCCGTCAACACAAACAATTTACATACTTGGTGAGCTTCTTTTTTTTTGACATTTTTGTATAGGCTTACAAGAGAGCTTCTCTGTGTAGATTCATCAGTACGTTCCTAAATGTGATTTCCAAGGTTTTTGAAATTCTCCTGAATCATGAGAATACAATTACCTACTTAATGGATTTTTTTTTTCTCCAAAAACTCAAAAGTTCTCTGCCAAGGATTCACATGAGGACTCATAGCCCCAGAGCGGGACGGGAAGGAGTTTGTTTCAAACTGCCTTCTCCTCTCTCAGATTCTGATAAACCTGCTTGGGGGGGACCCTTCTAGAATCTGTGCATGCGAGGCGTACTGTGAGTGTGAACAGCCTGGATCCAGAGACAAAAGGTTGAAACCACTATTCCATGCAGAAACTTCTTGAACAATACGTGTTGCTTCACCACTGTAATCTCTCACAAAGAAACAAAGGATCGCGATGAGTGTCTGATGTGTCAGGCACTCTCAGAGGGCCATTCTGGGGGAAGAATAGTATATATTGGAGCGCCTAGAAACAACTCTAATTTGTGAAAGCCCCCAGCCTTACCTAAGCATGCCTCACATAGGTCTGTAATTAACAAGCACGCAGGGACAGATTTAACGTGTTACTGTGACAGTGCCCTTACCTCTTATTATCTCTGGGGAAAATTAGCCGCTGATCTGGGGCTTGTGACATACACCTTTTTTTTTTTTTTTAATCTTAACACATGTGCATTCTGTTGGCTGAAGTTGGTGAAGTGGACATCTTGCTCAGTTTGTTTTGAAATAATGTTCTTATACTCTGCCAGGCTCATTCAGGGTCTTTGCCAAAGTTCTCATTCCAGCTACAGCAATTCCCGATTTTCTCCGAGGCATGACATAAGCAATAAAACAGGCTGTGTTATAATAGTTCAAGATAATGGAATATGGCTTTTCCAAGGGAGGTGATAGCGACTGGTAGGTTTCCTTCTTTACCGTGTGGGTGTGTAGATGACCTTTCGCCCAAGCCGGGAAGAAATGTCATGCGTGCAAAGTAATGGTGTCCGCATCCGTCGCTTTAGTACACATCAAAGAAAAAAGAAGGGACAGCCTGGAGTAGGCCTTTTCTTTATTTAAAGGTTTCTTTGGTAGGTAATTGCTAATATATTGGTTGTTTTTTGTTTTGTTGGTTTTTTTTTATTCTGAGAGTGTTTTGTTGAAGGAGAAGGGAGAAACAACTTTTTTTTTTTTGGTCATTTCCTATAAGATATGGAAGATAAGCTACAGTATCCTGTGTTTCCTGTCATTTTTATTTAACTCCAGTTAAGAACAACTGAGAAAAAATTCTTTGGAATTAATGAATTGTGTAAACATTGAATTTTACTACTTTTAAGGAGATGGATAACTTGGCCTGCTGCTCACACATCAAGCATTTCCAGCCAGCGTCTTGCCTGGGGGAGGGGGGAGCCTGTCCTGCAGGTGTAGTCACCCCATAATCAGTAGCATTCATTTGCATAGGATTACTCCATTTTTTTTTTTAGGCCTTTTAAAACAATTTGTTCTCTGAAGTAGGTTACACACGGCCTCTGTGATTTCATTTTTAATTTTCTGAGCAAGCCATTCTTCATGAGGAGTCCGATAATGAACTTCAGCTCAGTCTTGGTCCATTCGCCCGGTTTCAGATGAGCAGAGCTTCTGGCTTTATCTCACTCCCAGGTACCAGTGGCCGAGCTAGATAGCAGGACGTTTGGTTCTGCAGAAGCTCAAACAGGCCCCTCGCGAGGTGACACAAATCACAATACCTCTTTCTTTTCACATTCTCTCAGAAAGCACAACTTTGCAATAGCTGTTATGGGGGGGGTATTATTTGGGGGTTGAGGGTTCTTAGTTGCAAATGACAAAATGACAAGTCTTCCACATTTAAGTAGGAAGGGAATATATTCATAGGATATTGGGTAATTCATCAGATCCCCAGGAAGCCTGGAGAGCTTGCCTTGAGGCTACAGGCCATGTTCCACTGGACAGCTGGTCAGTGAGGCCGTGGCTGACACGGAGCATCAGCAGGGGCTCGGCATGGCCCGTCCCTGAGCTCTGTCCTCCCTCCAGCCTGCCTGTTGCTCCCAGCTTCCCCGAGCCTTGGGCTCTTCATTCCAAGCCTTGGTGAGTACATCCAGTTGATGGAGCTGAGGTCTTGTGCTGGCACCCTCACTGCAAGGGAGGCCAGTGCTTTCGGTTTCTTTAGTAGGAGGTGACCTCCCACTTCCTGCCAGGACTCATAGGTGGCGAACTTTCCAATCACAGAAAAAGGTTTCAGATGCTGGGCAGCCAAAAGCCTGAGAAGCGACCAGCACAGACTTGGGAGGCAGTCTTAACACCCAGCGGTGATGTGTATTTGTTTCTCCTTTCTAGCCCATAGATGAAAGCAGTCAGATGAGTGACCTGCCCGTCAAAGTGACTCACACAGAAACTGGCAAGGTCCTCTTTGGACCAGAAGCACCCAAAGCAAGTCAGCTGGACGCCTGGTTGGAAATGAATCCCGGGTATGGCATTAAAGCAGAAATTCTGGCTGTGCAGTGGCTTCTTAGATTTCTGTGGTCCCGGTAAAATCTCGGAACTCCAACAACATGACCTGTGCTGAAATGGTTAAAGTCATTACCTGCATTTGTCATTTGTACATAGAACATGCTAAGTAGGTTATGCGTGTAAATGTTGTCTTGTAATTTAAAAAAAATTAAGCCCCCTCTCCTTCCCACTCCTTTTCCTCCAGTTACGAAGTTGCCCCCCGATCTGACAGTGAAGAGAGCGATTCTGATTATGAGGAGGAGGTATGTCGGCATCTCTGTTTGTGGGGTGTATGTGGGAAGCACCTGTGTCTATCACTGCATCCTCCAGTGCTGGCCTTGGGGTGACATCTGGAGCTGAGGATGCAGCAGAGCGACAATGATGTTGTCCAGCAGTACAGTGACCTCGCTGGGGCTCCTGGCCAGTGGCAGGACTTGGAGAACTCTGAATCTCTGTGAAACCAAGGAAAGAGAAGTGGGCGTTATATTGGAGATGGTGGAAAGGTCTTCTGGGGAGAACTGAAGATGGGTTACTTTGGGAAGGCGGTGCCCTGCCTTACCTGGTTCACGCTGAAGCTGAGCCACCCAAAAGTTTCCGGAGTCCTTCGGGCCTTAGAGTCTATTCGAAATTGTAAGTCTGGAAGCTCTGATGAAAGGGCAACGCAGACTTGGTTTGATGAGGTTATTGATCCTCTTGGTTTCTCTTTAAATGTGATTCTTGTTTAAATTCCTTGGATATTCCCGTTACCCAAAGAGAAGCACATTTCTCAGTCTCTTGGAAGGAACGGTCAATACATTTATCTAGAACCTAAAATGGTAATCTTGGATACTTTTAACAGAACTTAAGAAATAGTAAAAAAGTTTGTGTTTTTTTTAGATCAACTATGAAATGCATTATAATTACAAATAGAAGGATTAAAAGAAGATTTTATCTCCTTTCTGAGAGCATTGTTAGTGGGTAGTCATTAATTCTGTTTACCAGTGTGGAGGACTCTTGGTTCAAAGAGCACCCTGGCACAGAAGCCACAGACCGGGCGAAGCAGCACCAGTCATATAGCTCTCCAGAATTTTAAGACGATTGTGATTTTCTTCTATTTTGCGGACCCCTTTTTTCCCCCTAAATTAATCTACTGTGAACACTTGTTAACTTTTACAAAGAGGAGGAATAATAAAAGTTTGGGTTTTTTTTTTTTTAAGCATATCAGTAAAAAGTAGCTGCTTTGGGTTGCATGCTATTTATTTTTTACAGGCCACTTTTGCTCTGAGATCTTTGAAACTTCCAGAATCACTTTTAAAAATGTTTCTTGTTCACGCGGATGAATGGCTCCATACAAGATCCATTGGAAGAATCTTGTCATTGGGTCACAGAGCCAGGGAGGGATGAGGGACAGAGGGGCTGCTGAACCCACAGATGTCAGCCCAGCACAGACAGCCCCAGACAGCTCTGGGCAGCTGGGAATAGAATGAACTCTGACCTGGGGGTCTATGAACCCGGGTCCCCGTCTCGGGTCTACCACTCACGGCGAGTCACGTCCCTGCTCAGAGCCTCATTCCTCCCCTGGAAAATGAAGGGGCTGGACTGATTCCTCACCTCACCCCGCAGCCTCTCAGTGATCCGCTATCATAGGTTTGATTGTTAGCCTGAATATCATGTCAGTTCATATGTTTTCATTCAAGAGTCATGGGAAAGCATTATTCTCTTAAAACCTGCTTTTAAAGAAATTCCGCCGGAGAATCTGGAAGGGTTTAGCTCTCAACACCAGTGGTTGGTCGTGGGCATGATGACTACATAGCAAAGCTTCCCAACAGATCAGCAGAACGTAGTATGCACTTGAGAGGAGGAGATCATGACTCCATTGCCAAGTTACTGACAGTTTTCATCTAAAGATTGAGAAATCTTGTGATGTGAAGTAGTCCCAAAGCAGTGGGTATACAAGCTCCAGCCCCACTACCTGGAGTGCATGGAGGACATCCAAGTCCCACCAATAAATTATCGGGGAGCAATTTTATGAGAAGGGCAATAGTAAGCCTCTAAGCCTGGTTTTGGAGAGAAGACTGTAGAATGCTTCTAAGTGAGAGCAGGTATGATGTGCAGGACTCTTTGATAACCAAACAATGATAAATATCCATCTGCAGTGACTTTTACCTATTTATTCTTGGGAGCAAGAGTCCTAATGGATCCTCAGAGGGTTTCTTCTGTTCTCTTGCTCCATGATTTAAACAGAAATGGAATGGCGTATGGCCTGGTTTAGGGAGGTGTTAAATTTACTTTCTCCCTTCATCGTATTTACTCTGGGAAACTGAATACTATTCAGTCTCTCTTCAGAAAGTGCCAATCCTAGAGATTCCCTCGTTGAAATGGAATCCTTCCTGTTCTTTACCCACCCCTCCCACCCCCCAGGATGAAGAAGAAGAGTCCAGTCGGCAGGACATGGAAGAGAAAATACTTCTGGATCCAAACAGCGAAGAGGTTTCTGAAAAGGACGCCAAGCAGATCATTGAGTGCGTATCGCTCAGTTTTCTCCCTTGTGAAAATGTGTGTCACGAGGATTGTGCTTGGCAGATTTTCCTTCAGAAAACTTTGTCTGAGGAAGGAAGCCGACCGACTCCGTGGCCATGTTTCCCTCGAAACGCTGCCATCAGAGGTCACCACTCTGCTTCGGGTGCTCGGCTCCTTCCTTCTTCCTGAACCCCCACCTCCAGAGCTCAGGTCACTCCTCGGCTTCTCCCTGCCTTTGCGCTTTGCCGCAGACTGAGCCCATGGGGGCTGGCCCTGCTAGCTGGCTGCTTTGCTGTCTTCCCCTCCTCCCTCAACTCATCAGCACCCACCCAGGAACGCCCATGAGAGATGCTTTGTGCCCCACCCCCGACGTGGTCTCCACAGCACCCCAGGACCTCTCAGCACCCCATCCTCCTCCCTGGGTCCGAGTGCCAGCTCTGTTCTTCACTCTGGCCATTCTCCACGTCAGCTCTTTGCTTGTGCAGCTCTAATATTAAAACGTGGGGGAAATGATATGTAAAATAGAACATTTTAAAGTAATGAGATTTTTTTTGAAAAGTGGAAATAGGCATTGTAATATTTTCTCCTTTTTTTTTTTTAAAGATTTTATTTATTTATTTGAGAGAGAGCGCATGAGCAGCGGGGAGTAGCAGAGGGAGAGGGAGAAGCAGACTCCCCGCTGAGCAGGGAGCCCGATGTGGGGCTCCATCCCAGGACCCTGGGGTCACGACCTGAGCTGAAGGCAGATGCTCAACGGACTGAGCCGCCCAGGCGCCCGTATTTTCTCCTTTGATTCGAGGGCTGCAGGCCCCACACTAGGAAACTTTGTTTTCTGGGTCTGCCGCTCCTCCTTCACCGAAGGTTTAGAACCCCCCAGTGGCTCCTCACTGGCTGTGGAGTTGAACACCAGCTCGTTAGCAAGGCATAGGAAGCAGAAGCTGGCCTGTATCTACCCCATCTCTGTGGGCATGTTGCTCCCTCCCCCAAGTCCCTCCCAGCATTCTGGGGATGGGATTTATCTTTGCATCTGGAGAGCCTAGGACGGCCTCCTTGGCCACGAGGTCATCTGCAGGGAGACAGTTCATGCTCAGATCAGTCATTTGAGGTCAGGCGGGCCTGCGTGCCAGTCCTGACTCCACTGTTTTTACGTGGCCCAGGCACATGAACTAACTTCTGTGAGCGTGAAGTTCCCCACGTGCGTAAAATGGAGACGATGCTCCTGTCTAGCTTGCTCACTTTTGGTGAGGGTTCCCGGGATCCTGTATTTTAACCAGAAGACATGCAGGCGGTGACCAGTAAACCATACTTAGGGTAGCCATGTTAGGCTCTCCACTCGTGCACCCGGTGATCTGTGGATGATTCTCTGCCTTCTCTGTCCCAGGACCGCCAAGCAGGATGTGGACGATGAGTACAGCATGCAGTGCAGTGCCAGGGGCTCCCAGTCCTACTACACGGTGGCCCATGCCATCTCTGAGCGGGTGGAGAAGCAGTCGGCCCTCCTCATTAACGGGACCCTGAAGCATTACCAGGTAATTGGTGGGGGCTGTGCCTTCTTGGCCAGTCCCGGTCCTTCAGCTCACTTCGGCTGGCCTGTGTCTTGCACATGTGTACAAGAATTGCTTAAGGAGTTTGATGATGGTGAGGCCTTTGGGGCCACGTTGCTTATAATACGATGATTATCCGTAATGCTTGCTTTAGAAGCTTCCTTTTTACCGTCTTACTAGGGCATACCCGTTTTCTCTTTTGTGAATTTAGGATGGGTTGTGTTTTGAGAAATACGGGCTTAACATTTGGCACGGTTTTATTGTGGATCTCTTCACAGTGGGAAACCCAGCCACATCCTATGAGTAGAGGGAACATCTCTGCCTCGTCTTGTAGTCAATGAAGTATTTCTTCCAAAACTTCAGTGGTGGCTCTAGTTTAATACCAAGGATTCAGCTTCTGCGAGCCGCTGTCTACTACATGTATGCTTTTTCTAAGACACAGTAAAATGGTGAGCTTTGGTGAAACGTACACCGTAAACAGAACAGACGTTTCATTTGACCTGTTGGAATAAGGTCAGCTCCTATCTTCTACCTCCTACCACTTTGGCATTTCCCAAAGTGTGTTCCTTGGAACACTTGCTTCATGAGATCTCCCTTAAAAAGAAAAATAGGTTCGCGGTCAAATAAATACGAGAAATACTATCATCCAGAGGTAGGACTATCTTATAATTTACTATTGCAGATTTGGATGCTTAGGAGAATGAATAGGGGCCCTTCTCATTAATACCGAGCATAACCCAGGATGATCCTGAGCCAACCAGACATATGGGCACCTTGGCAGTGACCCCTCCTGGTAGTCCCTGATGTGCCTGAGCACATTCATGACTCTGCAAAAATAGCGTGCAATCGATGACTGCGTATCAGCGTCCTACGGTGAAATAAAATGACTTCCTCTTTCCCAAATTTCTTTGACCGCCCAACTTTATGTTCATATATCCCCTATTAACATCCTGCAATTTAGGAAGTATATGCTTAAAGTTCTCCAACTTTGTGGGCCCGGCTCGCCTAAACTCTTAACCCCCGGCACTGTGCTGGCTGCCATGATGTGGGGGTGAATCGCTTTTAATGCCACGTTGACTCCCTCCCGCCATCCAACGCCTTTCTCATCGCTTGTCCTCACCACCTTTCCAAACCTGTCTCCCCCATTTCCATCTGTGAGCTTCATGCCCTTCTTCCTCTCCTGGGCTGCTGTAGACTTCCTGAGCAGGCCTCCGCGTCGGTCCCCTTCTGGGCTTTTCCTCCACCAACTTCCTCCTTCCTGGACTCTGACCTTCCACATTGGACTGATGAGATCCTTTCCATTTCTCACAAACCGCTTCCAACTGTGGCTCAGGGCCTGCCTGGATCACCCTGTCCACGAGTAAGCTTTCTGCCACCTTGCCGCTTGACGGGTTTGTGTATCATTAATAGTTATGTAACCCTGGCATAGCGGGGGTCTTCCTGCTGCTTCCGGGGAAAGCCGCACACATTTGGTTCCCTACCCAAACCCTCCACTTCCATGGTCTAGGGAAACCTGAATCACCTCCCACCATTTTCATGAATTTCTAGTCTCCTCTGCTGCCAGTGTATGCTTCTGTTTTATCTGGGTTTAACACAAATGCGAAATTCAGCCCCTTTGCCAGTTTTCATTTAAAAAAATAAAAATCCACCACCACTGTCCAAATGTTTCTGGCATTTAGTTGACTTTCCTAAGGGTCTGGTGGTCTTGGGGCCCCGTTGCAGGCCTGCAGCCCCTCCTGCCCACCACTATGACTTCCGGTCACTTCCCCTCTTCCTGTTTCTCTCGCCTCTCAGTTGTTGCTGTCCTTCTGCAAAATTCTTTAGGATGATTTGGAGTCTTGCGTGGTACAAGGTACCGCAAGTGGCCTATGAAAGTATTTCTGCAGACCATTGCAGTGCTTTCCCTAAGAAAATCTCTACTTGGTGCAACTGAATATGCATGCCAGAACAATTTTAAATAAGATTATACATATTTATACGTATGCCACGTACTTTCAGCCACTTTTTGGAGCATGTGGATACGTGAATGCCTTTTGTCTCCTCTTTGACTGCAAGCTTCTGAAGGGAGGCATGCAACTTACATAACGGCCAGGCATCTGTCTGCTCTGCCTCCTTGCATGGTCCTATGCACAGAACAATCATTTAATAAATATTGAAAATAATTGAATTACTCACTTGGTTCTTACATAAAACAAAATTAACATTTCCCTGAGCATGACTTGATTAGCAAGCTAAATTGACTTTAGGAGACATGCATATTTATATATTTGTGTATTTATGTGTATTCACTTATATGCAATACCTAATATATAATATGTGTAAATAGCTGTATGTATTATATAATATGTAAATATATATATATATATATATAAAATATAAATAAAGAAATATATCGAATTGCTCCTACCATTTAAACCCAACATCTGTGCAGTGGTGGTGGTATTGGTATTGGTGGTTGGGAGAAAGAACTGGAACAATTTTGTGTTTTCACCCCAGCCTTTCTTGTACTTAACACAGGAACTCCACAAAGCTGCGTCTCTGTTGCAGGGCTTTCGTCCTTTAAAAATATGTTGGACATGTTTCCAGGCGGTCATCTTCCCCTGCGCTGCCCTTGGGGAGCACCCCCACGGCAGAGTTTCCATGTGAGGCGCCGGGAGCTCTCGCTACACCAGGAAATGTCCTCCTGCGGGCCCAGCAGTGGGCCCCTGGCTCCCTGGTCAGCCGGCTTCCTCTCGCGGAAGGGATCCCACCCCAGGGGAGGCTCTTCATGGCCAAGAAGGCTGTGTCTAATGATCTCTGATCCGTGTGCCAACCCTGCCTTCTGGTTTGTTTGTCTCTAATCCTCACATTGGCTTTTTGTTCTTGGAGTGGTTGGAATGGATTTTAGTTTGGGTTTTCTTCATTTATAATAACTCTGGAATGTCATATACTGTGAAATGCTAAGTAGGGATGAGCAGCAAAGCTGCTTAAAATCCCACCAGTATGCTACAGCCCGTCATTTTCTAAATCTGATTAACACTTAGCACCTGCCAAGCAGCAGGGATGATTACAGGCTCATATTTTAAATTCTTTTTGTGTTGGTGCGTCCCCCACTTTCCTACTGTGGGAAATCCAACGTATAGCACCGAGGAGTTAAGAAGTCACAGCCTCACTTGAGTTGTATTAGTATTAATTACCTGTGCAGATCTTGGATAATTGAAGCAATTACTCTTCATTTCAGCTCCAGGGCCTGGAATGGATGGTTTCCCTGTATAATAACAATTTGAACGGGATCTTAGCAGATGAAATGGGGCTAGGGAAGACCATACAGACCATTGCACTCATCACTTATCTGATGGAGCACAAAAGACTCAATGGCCCCTATCTCATCATTGTTCCCCTTTCGTAAGTAAAGTCATTTATTCCATACTTATCTTTCTGTACGTTGTAGATTGCCCTATTAGTAGCTTGTCCTTGTTTTTCATTTAAGGCCGAATTTTCGCATGTAGTGGGATCACCAAAGAGCATCTGATCTGGACTTAGGTTTTCGCTTCCCACCCCCGGCCTTTTTGAATGGCCATTTAAACACGGGACGGAGTGATTTTTATCAGCCCTTAGCACCGCGCCGCCGTCTACACGGCCCGCACACCGCACTTATTTGTCATCACACCTTAAGCGGCTCACGGGGCAGAAAGGTTTTGATATCTATTTTTTTAAAGATTCTTGGATTTTTTTTTCCCCTTGTCCCATTTCCAAAAGGTTACATATATTCAAAAAGTGTGCCTTCTTAAATCTGCCTTGACCATATCTTTTAAAGTAGAATCTATATCACAATCATAACTGGGAATTTTGCCTTAAACTGCCTTCAGAACGGGCAGTCTAACGTCCCGGATTCTGCTGCTCCACAAGGACAGGTCTTCCTGTTCTCCACTCAATTCCCAGAGCCTGGGCGGTTCCTCTTTTCCAGACTCTCCTGAGAGAAGGAATACCATCCTCCTGGGAGTGTAGTGTCTCTGGCTTCAGGTGTTAGATCACAGTTCTATTCACTGAGACCTTTGTCGATCTCAGCACTAATACAGACTTGGACCTTGCAAAACAAACCAACCAAAGGGATTCTGGTTTAGCATTTGCAAATTCTGTCTGAACGAGGACTATTTGCAGACCTGCTGAATCTGTATTATCCGAATCCATAGTATTTAGTTATCCTTCGTATTGCATCTACATTTCGAGGATCTATTTTGTTCTTTATCTATGTTTTTCATGTTCTGACTCCTATATTATGGTGATGCTTTCAGAGATTTAAAAAAAAAAAAAGGCATTCCATATCTCTCCCCCTGCTCCCTCTTGACAGATTTATTTAAAATTTTCATGAGCTTTTGTCATTTGCTTTTTCCTGACTCAACTTTTCTGTGAACTTATATAGCTGTTTTTTTTATTTTATTATTATGTTATGTTAATCACCATACAGTACATCATTAGTTTTTGATGTAGTGTTCCATGATTCATTGTTTACGTATAACACCCAGTGCTCCATGCAGAACGTGCCCTCTTTAATACCCATCACCAGTTTTTAAAGAGTCCCCAAATCACTCTGGCAGTTGCTATTTTCAATATTGAAATTAAGGGTTTTTTTTTTTCCCCCTCTATGTTTATGCATTTTTTAATTTTATTTTTTTCTTATGAGATTTCTTAGGAACCAACAAACACAGTTGTCATGCTTTGGGGCAGCTTATTTCCCACTTATCTCTTATTTCCACACCGTTGAAAGAAATACATAGTTGAGATATTTTATATTCTCTCTCCCCTTTCAAGGTGAGGCCTAAGCATGAATAAGAACATCTTTTTAACCACCGACTTTGATACCAATGTCTTTTTCTCTGTATGTTTTCTTTTTTGTTCTCTAGGACTCTGTCTAACTGGACATATGAATTTGACAAATGGGCTCCTTCTGTGGTGAAAATTTCTTACAAGGTTTGGAATGCTGTATTTATATATAAATGTGGAAAAGCAAAAAATAGACCCTCTTTTTTTTTTCTTCATTCCATATGCACATCTGTGAACTGTATTTGGTTGTAAAGTTTTGTCATGTACATCATGTACCAAACAGTGTGAGTTAATCATCCCAAGAAGATTACTGTAATAAACCATAATTACTTTCAGATAGTGAAATGCAGAAGAAAATTGTTAATTATCATATTGCGAGGTTTCTGATGAGAGTAATACAAATGACAAATACTGCACATTCCGCGTGCCACCACCGTACCCGCTGTTCCCGCAAAGTTCGGCAATTACCCGGCCGCCGGGGCTGCCTGCCACACGCTCCCATAGAAAGGGAGCCTTTCAGCCGAGCCGCGGGTTCTCTGCCACCTCGAGGCTGCTGTAATTTCCTTATCTGTGTTCCCTCTCCCTCAGTTTGCAGAGGGGAAGCCTGCCTATAAGGGTCTGAAAAGTGTCCAGATGTGCGCTGATTTCACCAAGCACTTTCTTTGTGGATAATGGATGTGTGTAGGATAATGCATAGAGGTGCAATCTGCACTCACGTGTCTGGGCTCCATTAAGCCATGAATAGTGAGGCAAAATGCACACATTACTTCCGTTGGGTAATACATATATCTCTCTCTCTTTCCATCCAGGGTACGCCTGCCATGCGTCGCTCCCTTGTCCCCCAGCTGCGGAGTGGTAAATTCAATGTCCTCCTGACTACTTATGAGTACATTATCAAAGACAAGCACATTCTTGCAAAGGTATGTTTTAAAAAAAAAAAAAATAAGTTCTTTTACCTCTAATTACGGACCATTGCACTGGAGTCTAAAGTATTCCCCTAATTATACTCACTGGTATAATTTGATCGTTACATGGCTTTTCCCTCTCTCTCTCTCTCTCTCTCTCTATCTCTCCTTCTCTCTCTCTCTCTCAGAGTCAGATATATTTTGGGAATGGGTTTTAATTTGATGCGTGCTTTTTTTTGTTGTTGTTTCATTTCGTTTGTGTTTTTTGGCATATGTCGTTGATCCTGGTTCTCTTACTGAGCCTCTTGTAGTTAATGAGTTTACATCTCTTAAAAAAATTCACCTGGGCTCCTTCTGCAACTCCTTTTCTCTCCAACGGCCCTGAATGTGCTTGTGGAGGAAATAATTGTTTTGGTTGCCCTGGGTTATTGTCAGCAGCGTGACTTCATTCCTCTTGTGCCTCTGTCTCTCCAAAGACGAGTAGGCACCTCTCCATATCGTCTCCTCCCTGTGAACGTTTGTCCAAGCTGTAGCTTTGGTGCTATTCCTGGGTTAGGTTTTTTTTTTTTTTCCCCTGATAAAATAATGGGCCATTGTTTGGATGACTCTGGGCTGTTTCTGTGACTCTTCACTCGAAGCTGAGGAAGAGTTGTTCTCTACCTGAGACACATGTGTCTCCTAATTTGTATGTCCGAAGTTGTCCTTAGGCCGGAAGATAGAAAATTGTTCTTAGATTTCTCACACCTGGCCTCCTAACGCATTCACTCAGAATACCTTCTTTCATGGGCCCGAACATGAAAACTTCATTTCTCCTGCCCTGCAGGGTGGGAAGTGCTATAATCTGAAACTAAGCGATGGCCAGAACTGAGCAGAATCCCCGTTTCTGGGATCTCTTTTCTCTCCACACGAAACCTTTGCTCTGGGCACCGAGAGTTCCCTTCCTGACATCCCAGGGGCTCCCACAGGAGGCTTAGTAATTGAGATGGCAATGGCCATAAGCCTGCGTTCCTGTTCCTCATTCTCCGAGAGGAATTTGGCAGTGTCAGAAATGACACGTTTTCAGTAGGACTCCAGGAATGTGTTCGTAACATCGGAGATCCTTTAAAAAAAGAAAAAAAAAAGTCCTATCACGTCTTCTGCATATGTATTTCGGAACTCACCAGAGATGCCTGGTAATGAGATGAATTGCTTTTATTTGTTGCTGGAGGAATAAAGCTATAGAAGGGGTAGTGATATTTTGTCCAAGCGGAAGACCTAATGGGTAAATGAGTAGATTAGCAGAATCGAAGTCCTCTCTGATTCCTTGTTTATTAGGTCATTAGCTAAATTAGGAAAGTAGATTTCGACTGCTTACTTAAATACGTTTGTATCTGCTGGCCTCTTTTCGTGCTATTGGTAAGCTTGGGGTAGTTGTCTGTACAACTTCATTCTCATGGACACTTTTCTTAGAAATAGTGGAGGAAGAGTAAAAAAACAAAAACAAAACCAAAGCTCTGGTAGTTTCTTTTACCCAAACATCCCAGCCTGATTGATGGATTTTATATTCCTTCTCCCCCGACTTTACTGTCACTTCCGATGAGGAGGGCAGGGACCATCTAGAACACTTTGCTCGTCTGCCTCCTCTCTGGGAGCTTTGGAGCAGGATCCGGGGACATCTGAGCACCAGATGCTTTTCTTGGCCATTGCCACTGTTTTGTAGGGAATGAATAGGCTTAGTGGGACATTCCACATTGTTCTCACTTAAAGAAACTGAGACCAGTGACCTTGAAGAGGGCTGGAGGGTAAGTTATGAGAGAGGAAGAGACCTGCGTGCGGACTTAGGAGGGAAGATTGTGTCATATGGCTCTTTTTTATTTTTCACACGGTAGTCATGCTGGGAAAGGAGATTGTGTTTAATTCCAAAGTTCTGGCAAAAATAGAGGAATGATATTTTAGCATTGTCTTCACTGGCAGTGAGTATACCCTTGCACTGTAAATGTCTCAAAGCAGTGATCCTAGACTTGGCAGGTAAGGACCTGGCAGGTTAAGGAGTAGGTCTGAACCCAGAGACTCCAGGTTGCCAGATCTTACTTTTTTAAGAGAAGCTGGACATTCAGATTTTCATGTGAAATATTGCAACTTTTAAATGTTAGCAGCTCATTCAAATTAAGAAGAAAAAAGAACACTGAGCTGAGCCAAGCCCTAACAATATAACAATAGAAGTGAAGGCATGAAGCTGTAAGTACCTACTGACGCCATCTTGGAAAATCGGTCATTGATTTCTGCCTCAAGTGGAGAGCTCTCTTCTCTCCTTGCTATGGGCTGAGGCAGCATGAGCACTAAATCGGGCATAGCTGTCATGGTCTAGCATTGATAGAAGGCGTATTGGTTGGGGAGACACAGGAGCTAGTCCTGGCCCAACCATTTCATTCTGGGCCCAAGTTCCCCTCTTTGGCAAGAGCAATTTGGAATCACATGGCCCCTAAGCAGCACTGTTTGCTCTGACATCCCATTATCACGTGATGTGTTTCATCATCTATCAAGTATGGGAGATAGACCGTTGAGACTTTTTTTTTATCCGAAGGAGAATCACACCATATTATACACAAAGTCTGAATTCCTTGGCGTTCCACACCACGGCTTGCCTGTTGGAAGTGGTTGTATTTTCCCTTGCTCACCGCCTCGCCCGTGGGTCCTTCCTCTTGTGTTACAGATTCGGTGGAAATACATGATCGTGGATGAAGGCCACCGAATGAAGAATCACCACTGCAAGCTGACTCAGGTCTTGAACACTCACTATGTGGCCCCCAGAAGGATCCTCTTGACTGGGACCCCACTGCAGAATAAGCTCCCAGAACTCTGGGCCCTCCTTAACTTCCTCCTCCCCACCATTTTCAAGAGCTGCAGCACATTTGAACAGTGGTTTAACGCTCCATTTGCCATGACTGGAGAAAGGGTACTGGCCTAACTTTTGCATTTTCCACTGTATGGCAATGAAACGAACGTGAAGAACCCAAAGCTGAGAATGTTAGAGCCCAGAGAACCTGTAGGGTAGTTGACAATGTCGCTGACTTTACAAAACTCATCAGTGGGTGTGTGTGTTCTCTTTCCAGGGTGGTTTTCTGCACTAAGGAAATGGATCTGATGATGGGTCTAGGGTCCTAGGTTCTGGGATCCTTGATCATTTGCTGACACATTAATCAGGCCACTAGAGAATGATCCTGACTGATGGAATCCTTATCTGTATGGGCTACAGGGAGGATGAATGGAAAGATATTTGTTGAATCAGTTTAACCAGATCCACCGAACCAACGTAACACAAACCTTAAAAAGCAAATTATTTCCTTGTTGTAAACTTGGGCTTCTCTTTTAACTGTCTCCCCATGAAGAGTCTGTGTGTGAAACTGAACTAGCTCACAGTAGTTTTCTGCACACATTTTTTTCCAGTTTTAGTGTGAGCCTCCGTTTTGTATCTACACTAATACGCCTCAAATCCCGGAGTAGCCATTTTCAAATTTCTTATTATCATTCCTTCCACCATCTGTCTTCTCTTGGAGCTCATTTATGAAAGGAAGTCACGGGCCATTGCAAGGAAAAGGAATGGGTACCTGTCCTTTTGATTAGTGGTTTCTTAACTGTGGGAATGAAAAGCCACTTAGAAGGCTTTTGGGACATTTATGTTGGAACTATTCAGCACTTTAATTTTGAAGTACATTATAGGGACCTTTGCCTTTCGTCAGTAATTCATTGGCTTGCCCATTTGTAGAAAGTAATGTCAATCAAGTCTGCCCCCTAGAGGTTCATAGAGAAAGGTGACACAGGTTCTAGAGAAGGTTCTGTATAAAGAGGACTGACCAAGATCAGGGCAGAGGCAAGGAAGAGTGGTGAGGTAGAGGGGCTTGGAAACCCACCACCATCCACTGGGTCTACTCTCTCCTTCTTTTCATGTTCTGACCTTGTTGCCTTAGGGTGTTTCTGCATCTGAGAGAATCCAAGTTAGGAGCCTAACTTAAGGCTTCGACTTTGAGTAAGCACACATGCACTATTGCTCCTTTACTTGGGTTCTGTCTCAGTCGTTCAGTAAGGCTTTGTTGCAGTCCTATCCAAAAAAAATGCTGAGCTGGGGGACTGGTGGCTTGGGCCCCTTTTCCATGGAACTCTGCATTAAGACAAAGACACCCATTTAGAGGCCATTTTATTACCACCTGGCCCCGTGGGAGGAGGATTCTGAGGCATGCATAACAGGTAAAGACCTGGCCTTCATGGACACAAAATTTCAATCACATATCACAACAAATTAATAAATGTAACCCTAAAGCGTTATTTCATGAAACATCATTAAAAAAAAAAAAAAGTATGACTCATCTGAGGTTCTCTCCTAGGTGGACTTAAATGAAGAAGAAACCATATTGATCATCAGGCGTCTACATAAGGTGTTGAGACCATTTTTACTGAGGAGACTGAAGAAAGAAGTTGAGTCCCAGCTGCCAGAAAAAGTACGTTGCAAAATTCAAAAGCCATGGTTTCTTTCCTTGCCAATCTCCCAAGTACCTGCGTCTGAAATTGTGTTTTTAAAACAGCAGGCTTATATTTTAGTCCCAGGTATCTTGGAAATATCATACAGGACATTTTTGTTTCACAAAAGCTAGAGGTTTTAATGTAGAGAGAGAGAGAAGGGAAATTTCAATATTTTTCAGCCTGGTCTCCCTAAAGCTTTGGGGCCAGCTTTTATAAAACTACCAAATTCATCGAGTCTCCTGAATTTTCCCTTTCACTTACATCAACTCAACGTTATATTAGTTTAACATCATATTTTAAGCTTAGATTTTTTTTTAAGTTATTAACCTCGTGAAGTTCATTCTTGCAGCTGCCACCAAATTGATCTGCTAGTGAGTCAAACAAGGATATGAGTTTGGGACTTGCATCATCATCAAAAGGCCTCATAAACATTTACCAGGTTTCCTAGACATTTATTTAATGCTTGTGATGCTTGTGATGTCACTCTTCGGGTAATAAGTGAAAAACAGAGTTCCTGCAAATTGCAGACATGTCACCTAATTATTCTTGGACATGGCTTTTGTCCTGCACCATAAAAATTAAGTTCCTATGAGTATTTTAAGCAGGTATTTTTCAGATGGTGTCTTGCACCCTGACTTCTCAGTGCTTGAGAATGTCTTTTGAGCCTTTCGCTCCTCATTTTTTGGTTTGCTTCGGGTATTAGTTCAATATGTTCCTGATCATATTTTGGAACCACACACTTCTGAGTTCTAAATTTTATTCTCTTGAAGATAGGTTGTTTGGCATTGTATACTGCTTGTTACAGGAGGGGTATTTGGATTTGAGTTCTCTCTGTAGATGAGCCAGTTCTGAAATGTGTATTTTGCGTCATTGTGTTTTCTTCTCTGTAATGACTTCTGGCTTTTTGTACAGATTGGTTCGTCCTATTCATCTCTTAAGTGGGAGCCGACAAGAGAGCATACAAAGTTGATCACCTTATTAAGAGAGAATTTTGTTCCAGATTCCCCTATTCATTAACAGTCAGGGGGAAAAAAAATAAACTTAAGCACAGTTCTTGTATCATGCTTATCCCAGCAGAAGCCTAAGTATTAAAATATTTTATTTTGCTAGTGAATGCGTCTTGGGGATTGAAATGCTGCTGATATTTTTTTGACTTCCTATGGTCTTGGCATCTTTGGGTAACCCCCTTACTGTTCAACGTGGACCTTGGTTACTGAATAAACTGGGGAATGGGTCCAGTGGTCATTTGGCCACCTTGAACTACTTCCCAGCAAGAGATGCTGCAAGGTATAGAGATGGATGTTAACGATTTTAACATGTCCTAGGCTTTCTGTTTCTTTAGCAGAGGTATAAAATCAAAGGTAATTAACCAAAGTCCTTCATGTAGTCATTCTATAAAACTTCTTCATCTTTTTTGATTTCCAGGACTGGCTAAAATAGATAGATTTTTTTTAAAAAGCACATCACATGTTGGAAATATGCCCTGTTTGAAGAAAATCCATTCTATAAAAATCCAGACTTGCCCAGCATAAGGGTTATGGGGTGATCAGTTGTATCAAAAAGGAATTCTTGGCTTTACTAAAATATTTATTTCGCTGTTCCTTCCACAGAAGAGCTTCCTGAGTCTTGGCAAACTTAAAAAGAAAAAAATTAGGATTAGATTATAGAGTGCGTGTCTCCTGCATAAAGCACACTTAGACTCTTTAATACCCAGAGTATTATTTGAGATACGTTAACTGCCCCGTATGCAGTATATGATCTACGGCTAAGCGCCCATTTATGGAGGCAGCTCGGTTGAGTAGAAATCATGGGCTCTGCCTGTCACGGCAGACACGGGGCCCTCTCTCTTACTAACCATGTCACGTCAGTCAGTTAATCCAGCTCATCAGTGAACTGGCAAAGAAATACTACCTGCCTCACAGAATCATTGGAGATTAAATGGATGTAGGACCCATGAGTCGAAGCCTGGCGTGCGGTAGGCTCTCCGCTGGTGACAGTCACTGCCACCATACTCCTTAGCGTCAACCCCTGTTACTCTGACTTCTAGTTCTCTTTTCTGTTCACCTCAGGCTCTGTGCTCATCAGCCTTTCCCGGGGAGTCGGGGAACTCATCACTTTGCACGCATAGGTAGCTGTTGATGTGGTTTGGTCTGTGTTTCCTCTCTACTTTTTCTGTCTTGTTAGGATTTTTTACCTGAGGGAAATTGGCCACTGAAGTGTTGTCCTTGGGGTGTAAGGAGCTTCCCTCCGCCACCATCGGCTTACAGCCACAAACAGCGCGGATGTCTTTCTCAGCCTCTATAAAGAGCTGGGCAGGGATTCTGGCTGATGGCAGGAAAAAGGCCAACTGTTCCACAGCAGGAATTCTCAAATGCTCTCATGAAAAGCCACCAGTTAGGGGAGTGTTTTTTAATTTTATTTCTAAATTTACATATAAAATCCACTCTGGGGTATAAAGTTCTATGGGCTTTGACAAATGCAGAGTTATGTGAACCACACGCACAGTCAAAATGCAGAACAGTTCTCCCTCCTAGTACCACCCCCCCCCCACCCGGCAAAGTCCCTGGTGCCGCTTGTTTTTGGTCAGATCCTCTCCGTAACCCTTGCCCTCATGCGACCACTGATGTGTTCTCCATCCCCATAGCTCCACCTCTTCCAGAATGTCACAGGGATGGAGTCAGACATCATGTCTCATCATCACACCTTTGCATCTGGATTTTTTCACTCAGTGTAACGTGTTTGAGCTCCATCCAAGTTGTTGCCCGTATCTATGGTTGTCTCGTTTTTACTGTTGAGTTAGTATTCTCATCTATGGATGCGCCACAGTGGGTCTGTCCATTCAGTGGAGGGGATGGTTGGGTTGTCTCTGGTTTCTGACAATTATGGATGCATCTGCTGGACACATGGTGCATAGGTTTTCTTTTCACTGGAGTAAAGACCCAGGGGCAGGCTTGCCGGGTCCTATGGTAAGTTCACACGTAGCTTTATAGGAAACTTCTGGAACCATTGTGCATTTGCACCAGCAATGTCTGAGCCTTGCGTTTCCTCCACGTTCCCATCCGTCCTCATCGGGTGCCATCCGTTTTCTTGACATTTTTAACTATTTCAACAGGTGTGCACTGGTATTGTGTAATAAATTTGTATTTTTCTGATGTCCACTGATGTTGGGCATCTTTTTATTGCATCTTTTTATCCATATGTCTTCTTGGATGAAACGGTGCTCACATCTTTTGCCTGTTCTGTTTGTTTTTTAATTGGGTCATTTCTTTTCTTATTGTTGAGTGTTAAGCCTGAAAAACTCTGAAAAATAGGAAGTGTATTTTGTGTGTACTAAACAGTCATTCTGTCTATTATACTGGACTGAGCTCAGATGAAACCAAAGCAGGCATGTCAGGGTCAAAATTTTGATAAGTACAGCTCTACTTCATAGCAAAATTAGTATTCATAGATGACTATTTGATAAAAATGAGTTTTCACTGATGAGTATTTAATAATATCATGATTCTAGTGACACACCTAATGAGCAAGGGAAGGTACCATTCCCCCCAGTACACCCGACACCACCAAGCTGCAGCATAAAATCCATTCCCTATACTCAGGAAAGAATGGCAGCTCATACAAAAGGACGTATATAAAACCTAATGTAAACTAAATAAAAATTGATTTTGCGATTTGGCTCCCATTTGGAGTTGTCTATGCCGACTGTCCACTATGTTAATTCATAGATAATCAAGAGCCAACTATACTTGCAGACAGCTGTGTGTATATATATATTGATGTCTAAATACGCTAAAATATGTATACAATGTCGGAGGTTAACTAGAGGTTGACCTACCTAAAATCGACCCTAATTTTGATTTAATCTGCATGAAGCAACAAATCAGCTTCGCCGAGATGGGCAACTTGTACATTCATGATATAAACATTTAGAATGCTTGATGTAATTAATCATTACTTCGTTCCTCCCTCGCACCATAGATTCCAGAACCTGGGACTTTGAAGTATGTAATCTTATTGTTTGGAAGTCTCAGTTCAGAAAGTGGTAACGTATCACACCCTGTAGTCTGGGTGCACTGTTCCAATAATGCATCCTTTTGGAAAGGATGTTGTAAGTGAAGAATAGTATTCAGGCAGAAACTATGAATAATGCCTGAATCCTTCTCTGGGGGTCGGTGGAGGAGACTCTGGGCCAATATGATCACCTGATATGGCTCCTTATGGGACCAGTTTGATCACTTACTAACGTAAGAATTCTTAGGTGAGAATTACCCTGGGCGTGAGGTCAGCACCTCAGTTTTACATATAACTTGAGCAAAAATAGCCCCAGGGCCTCACCAGCCTCACTCATCGGGGGGGACTCCCCGCTCTGAAAGGGGCACAGATTTCATTTCCTGCAGTGTCAGCATATTTTGAGGAACTTCATTCATGCCATCATCAGGTGCCATCACATCTCCAGGGGTGAACTCAGACCCAGCAGAGTTTAGAGGGCATGATTACCATAGAAAGTTCTCTCCCTTGGTCCCTGGCGATCTGTGGGTATGTCTACTTTGTAACTGTTCAGTCTGTCCTTTTCTCAGTACCTAGCTCTGGTTGGCTGCCTGCCATGTGTATGGCCTGGGTGGAAGGTGCAGGAGTCACCCCAGAAACAGGCACGGTGTGACAGGTCAGCAGATGGGGTGGGGCGACACGGCCTACTCACCTTGGACAAGGGCGTGATGCTGAAAGGTCACCTCATGCACCCCATCCAGATGAATAATGCAAGCATTCAAGCCCTTTAGGGCAGGGGTCTTCAGAACACACCCTTGGGCGGTGGGGAGGGTTGTGTATTTGGGCAGGGTTGTCTACTAGTACTCCCTTGGAATACAGAAACAAGATTTTTAGAACTTCCGTTTATATTCTAAAAATAAAAAATTAAGCTTCGTTGACCTCTACCATACAGACTGACACTGGTACCCCTGTGGTGTGGGATCGGAAAGTCAGTCATGTGCCTGGGTTGGACTGGGGAGGTCATCCCAGGGGGAGCGTGATGGGGAGCACCCCCACCAGGGCACCTGACCGCCCCCCACCCTCACAGCCCCGCTCCTGTACTTCCTGCCTATGGTGAGACAGTGTGGAATTAATACCCTGTGTCCAGACCAGAGGATGTGGGAGGATCTGATTTTCACTAGACCGACACTCCCAGCCCCCAGCATGGACAAAGGGCTTACGAAGATTCTGCAAAGGATTGCAGGTTGAACACAAGAAGAACGTGAGCATAGGGACATAGGGAGAAAAAGGAAGTCCTGTCTCTTTACCTGTTCCTGGTGTGGGTTTTTATCAGCCATATCATAGCAATTAGACAAAAATAATTAGATGTCATCAAATTGGCCCCTTGGAATAAATCAGTGGCCTTTAACCTTGACGACCATACCCTAAAAGTCCCATGTGTCTGTAGACATTAACATTAGTGCATACACATAATTCATAAAGAAATCTATGGGCGTGTATTGGGAAGATGTGCTCTAGCGTGTCTTCCTGGTAAGGGGATGCCACTGAAAAAGCTTAATAACCACTTCTTTGAGAGAAATGAAAGGAGAAATTAATTGACTTTGGCTGGTAGCTAAGGTGATTGGGGAAGACATTTTAAGAAGCCCTTGAGGTAGAGTAGGAATTAGGAAGGCGGCAGTAAGAGTCGCCCCCCCCACCCCCCCGCCCCCACCACCCAACCCCAGGCCTAGAGAGAAGTGTAAAGTCAAACAGAGCTTGGAGTTGCCTGCGAAGGCACGGGGAGCAAACGTCAAACACAGTTTTGATGCTTATGACGGTGATTTCGATCACGTGGCTCACACCAGCTTCTGGAATCCCCTAATGGCGAAGGGAGGAGGGTTAGGGAGACTTCCCCATCTTCGAGCAGCTGTTGGGTCCTCGGGATGGGTTCGCTGCTCTTAGCTGACTGGAGTGCCGCGGGTGGGTTTGGCATCCCTGTCTGCATGGCATCATAGTACTCGCCTCCTGCTTCCCAAAACACTTAGCAGTCAGCAGTAGCTGGCGGGTTGAGGGTACCGTCCCTAATTCTGTATCTGCTGAGCCCTAAAGCACTTAAAAGCAAGCAGTGGCCATCCCTTCCTGCAGAGAATCCCCGATGGCGGTGAACATGGGAAAGCCTGAACGTCTCCTTGGTCATCCTCAGGATAGAGCTTAGAAGAGCAGACTCGGCTTCCAGTCCTAACTGCACCATTAAATACCCCTATCACTTCGAGCCGGTCTGTTGAACTTCTGACGCTCAGGTTCTGTACAAAATGTGACCCTCTCCTAGAGCTCTTGTGTGATAAATGAAAGAAGGCACATAAAGCTCTCTGTGTAGGTCCTGGTCCACAGAAAGAGCTCAGTGATATTAGCCCTTGGTGCCATTTTTTTTTTAAAGATTGACTTATTTTAGAGAGAGGGAGGGGCAGAAGGAGAGGGAGAGAGAATCTCCTGCAGACTCCATGCCGAGCACAGAGCCCGATGCAGGGCTTGATCTCATGACCGTGAGATCATGACCTGAGCCAAAATCAAGAGTCTTAACTAACTGAGCCACCCAGGCACCGGCCTTGGTGCCATTTTTATGCTCCTACTGGTTGCAGTCTGAAGTTGTCTAACACTTTTCTTTGCCGTGATCAGATTTCATTTTGAGAGTGAAGGTCTCTCAAAAAAGTCAAAGTACTTTAAAAATAGGACATGATCAGGCACCTAAAACAGAAAGCCTGTAGCAAGTGCATTCTTATTAATTAAACTTGGAGATTTCTGTTTTTTCTCCTCTGGCCAAGGTCATTAAAAACAAAAACAAGCATATGAAAGGTCACCTGCTTTTCTTAACTTTTCTGCAAAGGAGCCAGCCTTTCTCCAGTCCTGTTTGGTGCATCAAAACAAGTGGCGAAAGGCTATTAATTGCAGTTCCATCTGGCCTGACAGGTTCCTTCTGAAGCCGCAATTGAATGAATATTCAACTTCTCTTCATCTGTGACCTCCTCGCCCTGGCCCTCAGAGCTGAAAATAACCTGATCATTTTTAATCAGTTTATTAAACATTAGGCAGCTTGCTGATTTACTTTTAATCACATTCTGCAGATTTCTAGGCATTTATCTGACGTTTATTGTGAAAATTGCACATTTGTATTCTGGGGATTTTTTTAATAAAGAAAATAATACTGGGAAATAATCAAGGCAGACTTTATGCATTAAGAACATGCGAGAAGTATTGCAGGTGTGTGCTAAGCCAAGGGCAGGTGAATTCCCTTTAACTGTTTTAAATCGGATTTTTTTTTTTTTTTTTTTTTGGCGATAGTCCAACTGGAGGCCCACGAGGCTTTGCCTTCTTTAGGTGGTCATAAATTTGCATATCCAGTTTTGGATTAATTCCTCTCCTCCACCTGCTGTCCTCACAGGAGAGAATACTTTCTCTCGCCTCTGAAAAGCAGAGGTTAATGGCAGTCAGCCTAGGGCTATTGCAAATCTTACTTGTGGATTAGTACTGGGGGTCGCTGCATATGACCATTTAAAAAAATTGTCCTACAGGGGCGCCTGGGTGGCTCAGTCGGTTAAGCAGCTGCCTTTGGCTCAGGTCATGATCCCAGGGTCCTGGGACTGAGCCCAGCATCGGGCTTTGCGCTCAGCAGGGAGCCTGCTTCTCCGTCTGCCTGCCATTCTGCCTACTTGTGCTCTCTCTCTCTCTGTCAAATAAATAATAAAATCATAAAAGAAATAATAATAAACAAATAATAAATCAAAAAATGTCTTACAGAGCAAATCTTGGGATATTGGGCAGTCGGTGTTTTTCTGTTCATATGAAAGAGGGTGTAGCGGGGAAGTGGAAGAAATACTAGGAAGAAACTCTATATTGAGCTTTTTTGTGTTTGAACAGTTTGTAAGCTCCTCTCTCTCTCTCTCTCGAATGTGGAGCAAGTCAAGAAATTTCAGCTAACGTGACCCTAGCCTCAATCACGTACACCCTTTGGCAGGTCCCTCCCCCATAATGGTACCATTAGCAGCGATGACCACGGTCTCCACCACCACCCCATCCCACCCTCCACTCCTCGAATCCATGGGGGGGGAAACGGAGGGACCCATAGAGTTCCAGGACTGCTGCCCGCTACCCTGTCCCAGCTGTGTTCTCAGAACAGACACCTTCTCTCTCCTGCTCCTACTTACTCACTGTTCTTTCTCCCTCAGGTTGAATATGTGATCAAGTGTGATATGTCCGCGCTGCAGAAAATTCTCTATCGCCACATGCAAGCCAAAGGGATCCTCCTCACCGATGGCTCGGAAAAAGATAAGAAGGTACATTTCAGCAGATGATGCAACTCAGCGTGTTGTCTGTCTGTCTTCTCGCAGCCGTGACGTCAGATCCTCCCAGGAAGCGTCCCTGCTAATGCTGATCTGTTAGAGCCAATTTCTGGGCCTTATTCCTTAACTGTCGTAGCTGCCAAAGGAAATCTCATCACCTCTTCATTGCAAACTGCATTGGGGCAGGAAGAATAGAGTATGCTCCTATCACCCAAATTGCTTTTAGCTCTGCTTATGTCAATTCTGCAGGGAATATATTCTGCCTAAATGTGGGGTGGCACCTTGAAAGGTTTTAAAATCCTATGTCACTCCCTGGGCATCTGCTCCAGGCTTCTGTCTTCCCAGAATCCCAGGGAACAGACAGTCATGTCACAAAGCCATCAACTTGATATGATTCCCTCCTGTCGGGTAAGTTAGTCCTGAGAAAGATGTTCTATCTGTAACTCAGAAACTGCTCTGTGACAGGAGCCTTGGGCGCCGGCAGGCGTAGGTTACGGGGAAGACCTATGGCCCTCTCTATAAAAGCCTACTTTTTAAAAATGGGCAGTATCTGGTCAATTAACGATTTGTTTGTCCTGTGTTTACTCTCTCCACTTGTTCTCAGGGAAAGGGAGGTGCTAAGACTCTCATGAACACTATCATGCAGTTGAGAAAAATCTGCAACCACCCCTATATGTTTCAGCACATTGAGGTAAGTCTGCACTCTCCACTTTGATTCTGATCCTGACTGCACTACTCCTACTAACACTACTTTTTAAAAAAGGGAGGGAGGGGGAGAGAGAGAGAGAGAGAGAAAGAAAAAGAAAGAAAGAAAGAAAAAGAGAAAGAAAGAAAGAAAGAATGTGTGGACATTGAAATGACATGTTCTGATAGCTCGACAAGCAGAATTAACAAACGTGAATTTCCTGGTTATGGATTCTCGTTGGCACCAAGCACTTGAGCATCTGGAATTTTATAACCAAGGGTTTGAAGCATTGAGAAAAAACTGCAAGCTTGGGCTCATTATGTGGGTTTGGGTAAGTGCTGTGAATTGCCTTGTTATGGTAGGAGCTATGAAATTGAAGGTAATGATGAATACATCCAGTTTCCTCAGGAGGATGCTATGAAAAATATTGAAATAATGTATTTGTACCTGTTGAAGAAGGAGATGCTCTCAAAATATTTTCTTTGTAAAAAGCACTGACTTTGGTTCGGCTACATAGATCTGCATTTTTCCTTTCTGGCTTCTATCCCGACAATGTAAATCCCGGCTTTTATCCTGACACTCTGGTTCTTACAGAGCTATTTTTAGGGGTGAGGACATTTTCTGCCCTGTTCACTGCATGTAAATAACTTTTCTAAATGGACAAGATTTCACCCCAGAGGGAGCAATTGACCTGAGCAGGAAGGAAAAGGAGCCAAACTGTAGGCTCCACTGTTCCATGTTGTGGCTGAAGCATGTGGTCGTGGTGGGGCCTACTTGCCATGGCGCATGAGCTAGGGCATCAGGGACCAGATCACTGCAGGTCTCCAGCACCTGCACTGCTTCATTAAAAAGGAAATATACGGAAGGTCCTGGGAAATCAGAATTTTAATAATTACAGTATAAAAACCGAGTTGAAATACTCCTGCCTTTGAAATATTCTTGACTTCGACGATTCTTTTTTTGTTGTTGTTCCTCCCTTATTTTTGTCAGTCACGCTTGTCAGAGAGGAGTATTTATTGCAGGCCCTCTGCCTGTTCTGGAAACCCGACCCAGCCTGAGCTGCTGGGTCCACATCCAGAGGGCAGGGTGTCTCTAGGCTGACAAGCTCTAGATCCATGTCAACTGACAACAGCAACAATACCAGCAACAAAAATAAAATCCCACCAAAAAGTCCTGGCTGTTTAGACACTCGGTGAAGGAGAATCCAGTGTGCAACAATGAGGCCATGACCTGGGCCACTTTGTAACCATGACCTGGTGAAAATGTCTCGGCATCTCCAAGCATCAGTGCACTTGACTTGTCATCACGTGGTGACAGCTTATGGGACTGGCAGAGGCTAAACTTAAAAAAAAAAAAAGAGGCAGCATCTTATAAATTGATAACATATATTAAACAGGTGGAAGGTATCGATGAATTAGTGGTGGATCTATATTGGTCTGTGGCCGGGGGGAGCTAAAAAAATTGTCAAATGATGAAAATGACCAGGGTCATGCCAGGTGAACCTGTCACCCACCGTCGCATCCCCTCTTTCCTGAAAACAGTCTTGAGATATTTATCCTGATTCGTAGAGGGGTTTGAGGACTTAGAAGTTATGAAAATTAAGTGTCAGTCTTACTTCATTTTGGTTGTCATGCAAAAAAATAGCCTTTGAAACATGCTAGACTGTGTCAGGAAGGGGGATGGATGCCTTCCGTCCTCACGCTTCTGTCTGGAGAACCTGGGGAGCCGAGTTTAAGTAACCTGCCCTCCATTCCTTGCCTATTTCCATTCTAAATAGCCGTCAGTAGAGAGACGGACTCTGATTCGCAATTTGTTTTTAACATAAAAGCTTTCAGAAGGCGTATTCCTAGAAATGAGACCCAGAGTCATGGGCACACATGGCCACAAGGCTGGCTGGGAGTTGGTGGGTGCATTTTGCCTCTGTCTTTGTATTGTTTGCACACCACCTTTGTTCATAGGAAATCACCCCACAAGCCCCCTCTCTCTGTTGGGCTGTTTCCCTGGGGACCTTCAAACCAGGGAAATGAGCACATTTTTTTAAAACAATGCTAATCCCTGGGACACCTGGGTGGCTCATTTGGTTAAGCGTCTGCCTTCCACCCAAGTCATGATCTCGGGGTCCTAGGATCAGGCCCCATGTCTGGCTCTCTGCTCAGCGGGGAGTCTGCTTCTCCCTCTCCCTCTGCTGCTCCCTGGGCTTGTGCTCTCGCGCTCTCTCTCTCTCTGTCAAATAAATAAGTAAAATCTTCAAAAAAACAAAAGAACAAAAAACGATACTAATGTCTAAACTTATCACTGTGCACTGACACATTCCAATCTCTCTGGTTCTTATAGCCCTGCTTAGGCAATAGGGACGGATCCCAAAAATCTAGCGAGGAGTGGCTGCTGGTGGAGAGGGAAGGCATAGCTCTTGGAGTCAGAGTGGGCTTTCTGGCCGTTGTCCGTTCGGTGTTGACTTTGCCAGCAGGGTTAGCACACCGAGGGGCCAGAGCCCACCATAAACGATGAGCGATGAGCTGAGCGTATGTAAGAGGAGACCTCAAAGGGAAAGAGAGCTGATGCCCCAGGAGGAGAAGCTTTGCTGCTCAGAGAGAAGGAAAAGGAAGCAGAGGAGGGAGACAGCGGGGGGCTAGTGTGAAGGTGTGACATGCTTTCCTTCCCCACAGATGGTCTCCCGTTCCCTCCAGTCAGCCTGGAAACACCACTCGGAGAACAGTAACATTTCTTCTACAGGATCAGTGAGGAGGGAATTACATGATTCAGGAGTTTAAATTTGATTTGAAATTCTAAAATTTTCATTTTAAATTTAAAATTCTGTGTTTTGAAGATGGGAGCCCGGACACCTGAGGGAGTGGTTCGTGTCCATTGAGGGCCTTATTTGTAACAGAGAAAAGCACAGAATGGAGGAATTTCAGGATTTCTCTAAACTCAGATTTAGAATATAGTATACAGTCACCATGACTTTTACTGTTAAATGTTTTTGCAGTGTATTTCCATGCACATCTGAATCCTGATTAGTTCGTATTAGGCTCTTTCTCTAGTCTAGATTCTAAACTCCTTGGGGACAGATACTTCTGTTGTTTCTGGATCCCCCATACCTACCTGGCTCAGCCCTGGGTCAGTAGATGCTTAATCACTGTTTGATGAGTAAACTAACCCTGACATCTGAGTATGAGATTCTGGAGACTTGCACAAACTCCCAGGACACAGTTGTGGCAGAACGAAAGTGTGAATTCAAAGACATTGAGTTTCCGGTTCATTGTCTAAAAAGTATTTTCTTACTTATTGTTTTGTTTAACTATGCTCTAGAAATAAATGGGATGACCTCACTAAAAGAGTAATTATTGAGTTAATAATTTACATATCTGGGTGGATTTTTTTGATCATTTTTTTTCTCCTTTCTCTTTTAAAGGAATCCTTTGCTGAACACCTGGGCTATTCAAATGGGGTCATCAATGGGTAAATCTTAAAATTTATCTTTCTTCCAAAAACCAGTTTGTTGGTCAACTTTTCACTCCGTAGAGTTTTCTATCACACACGTACCTACTGCCAGCCTCCTGCACCCGCCCCCCACCTCAGCAGAGGGTATCGGAGTTGTTAACCGAAATGATATCAGCCTTCTCGTTTACTTTACTGGCATAAATTACTGCATGCCTTGAGCAAGTGACTATTCAAAGGACACGGATCTCATTTAATAGAATTAATAGTAACCTAGAGTCCTAAAATGTGGTGAAAGCAATAGTGTAGCTTGGGCCGAAAGAGAATTTATCGTATTGAATTTCAAGTTGATACTTAACTTGGGCATGGGTGAGAGGAGATGCCTCATCCGCCATAAATATGTGTGACCTTCCAGTCATTCATCAGAATATGGTCCGTACAAGAAACGTTTTTTGGAGGCGCCTGGGTGGCTCGGTCGTTAAGCGTCTGCCTTCGGCTCAGGTCATGATCCCAGGGTCCTGGGATCAAGCCCCACATCAGGCTCCCTGCTCCGCGGGAAGCCTGCTTCTCCCTCTCCCACTCCCCCTGCTTGTGTTCCCTCTCTCGCTGTGTCTCTCTCTGTCAAATAAATAAAATCTTTAAAAAAAAAAAAAAAAAAACGTTTTTGGTTAGCAGCGGCCATTAAAGAGTGCCATGCTTTGCAACAAAAACAGAAAAGTTTGCATTCACAGAAAGTCTCTGTTTTGTACCAGGGGACATTGATTATTAGGATGTGGGGGCCATGCTTGGATCCCAAAGGCAGATGGTGTCACTGGGCTAAGAACTAGAAAGTGGGACCCACCCAGAACCAGAGCCACCAGGCTCTCGCACTCCTGCTTGCTTTTCTCTCCGTCCCATGGTCGCTCCTGGGTTGCATACTAACAACACAGCCACAGGAGATGTTTGGAAGATGGTGGTTGGAACGGGGGACAGAGGTAGGGAAGACATGCACGTGAAGATGGGAGCCCGGACACCTGAGGGAGTGGTTCGTGTCCATTGAGGGCCTTATTTGTAACAGAGAAAAGCACAGAATGGAGGAATTTCAGGATTTCTCTAAACTCAGATTTAGAATATAGTATACAGTCACCATGACTTTTACTGTTAAATGTTTTTGCAGTGTATTTCCATGCACATCTGAATCCTGATTAGTTCGTATTAGGCTCTTTCTCTAGTCTAGATTCTAAACTCCTTGGGGACAGATACTTCTGTTGTTTCTGGATCCCCCATACCTACCTGGCTCAGCCCTGGGTCAGTAGATGCTTAATCACTGTTTGATGAGTAAACTAACCCTGACATCTGAGTATGAGATTCTGGAGACTTGCACAAACTCCCAGGACACAGTTGTGGCAGAACGAAAGTGTGAATTCAAAGACATTGAGTTTCCGGTTCATTGTCTAAAAAGTATTTTCTTACTTATTGTTTTGTTTAACTATGCTCTAGAAATAAATGGGATGACCTCACTAAAAGAGTAATTATTGAGTTAATAATTTACATATCTGGGTGGATTTTTTTGATCATTTTTTTTCTCCTTTCTCTTTTAAAGGAATCCTTTGCTGAACACCTGGGCTATTCAAATGGGGTCATCAATGGGTAAATCTTAAAATTTATCTTTCTTCCAAAAACCAGTTTGTTGGTCAACTTTTCACTCCGTAGAGTTTTCTATCACACACGTACCTACTGCCAGCCTCCTGCACCCGCCCCCCACCTCAGCAGAGGGTATCGGAGTTGTTAACCGAAATGATATCAGCCTTCTCGTTTACTTTACTGGCATAAATTACTGCATGCCTTGAGCAAGTGACTATTCAAAGGACACGGATCTCATTTAATAGAATTAATAGTAACCTAGAGTCCTAAAATGTGGTGAAAGCAATAGTGTAGCTTGGGCCGAAAGAGAATTTATCGTATTGAATTTCAAGTTGATACTTAACTTGGGCATGGGTGAGAGGAGATGCCTCATCCGCCATAAATATGTGTGACCTTCCAGTCATTCATCAGAATATGGTCCGTACAAGAAACGTTTTTTGGAGGCGCCTGGGTGGCTCAGTCGTTAAGCGTCTGCCTTCGGCTCAGGTCATGATCCCAGGGTCCTGGGATCAAGCCCCACATCAGGCTCCCTGCTCCGCGGGAAGCCTGCTTCTCCCTCTCCCACTCCCCCTGCTTGTGTTCCCTCTCTCGCTGTGTCTCTCTCTGTCAAATAAATAAAATCTTTAAAAAAAAAAAAAAAGAAACGTTTTTGGTTAGCAGCGGCCATTAAAGAGTGCCATGCTTTGCAACAAAAACAGAAAAGTTTGCATTCACAGAAAGTCTCTGTTTTGTACCAGGGGACATTGATTATTAGGATGTGGGGGCCATGCTTGGATCCCAAAGGCAGATGGTGTCACTGGGCTAAGAACTAGAAAGTGGGACCCACCCAGAACCAGAGCCACCAGGCTCTCGCACTCCTGCTTGCTTTTCTCTCCGTCCCATGGTCGCTCCTGGGTTGCATACTAACAACACAGCCACAGGAGATGTTTGGAAGATGGTGGTTGGAACGGGGGACAGAGGTAGGGAAGACATGCACGTGAAAATGTGTTAGAGACGACACACACTGTGTCATAGAATCAGCTACTGATGATCCATTGCAGTGTTGTAGAGGGCATGCACTGATGAGTTTTCCCAGTCATATCAGCCCGACAATTAGGTTTTAATAATTTAACACATCTCTGTTGACAAAAGAGAGGAGTTTATTATGGAAGAGGAAAAGCCCTGCTTCAGTTCCTTGACACTGTGACAGCAGGTACCCCCACTATGCTCTTTCTAATTTGAACTTCTCTATAAGCCAGGCCTCACGTCCCCTCCCCAGTCCATCTGTACAGTGTACATGGTGATCTTTTAAAAAGATGTGGCAGATCTCGCCATTGCCCTATTTTCAGACCCATCAGTGGCTTTCTGTTGCACTTAAAGCGAACACACTCAGTGTGGCTAAAAGAGTCCTCCGGCATCTGCCGGCCTCCTGCCCCCCGCACAACCTGCTGCCTCTCTGTCCCCATCTCCAGAATTCCCCTATTGCTTATGTTCAGTTCCTCAGACTCACCAGGCTCCTTTACTCCACAGGGCCTTTGCACATACTCTTCCCACTTCCTGGAATCTCCTCCTCCTCCAAGGTCCCGTTCTTCAGCCGGCTGTCTTGTTGCCCATTATTTGGCGTTTTAGCTCAACTGTTCTCTCTTCAGCAAGGTCACCTGCATCAAGGGCTGGCAAATTTTTTTCTCTAAAGGGCCAGATCTCAAATGTTTTTGCCTGTGTGTGTCAAAAAGTCTCTGCCCCAACGTTGCCATTGTGTGGTGTGAAAGCCGCCACGTAGACAAAACAGAAATAAGTGAGCCTGGCTGCGCCCCAATCAAACTCCATTTACGCAAACAGGCAGCAGGCCAGGACCTAAATTTGCCAAACCCTGCTCTAATTTAAAGATGTCACGTGTTGTTATGCATTGTCTCATAGCAACTTGTTATTTTTCTCTTTAGTGCTCATCACAATTTGCAATTAGCCGTTTGGAAGGCAGGGATTCTATTTTCTCATCCCTGTACACGTGGAATGCGCCCGGCAGGTAGTAGTAGATGCTCAAGAAATATTTGGACACATCTTAAGTGCCCTAGATTAATAACTTGATGTGCTTACCAAGTAGCAGTTTAAGGAAACACAACAGGTTCACGACTGTGTGTGGGTAGGAGGGAGAGAGAATTGAGAGAGAGGAAGAGAGAGACAGCTAGTAAAAGTATTAGGAACACGAAACAATCTCCTCTTTCTAGAATCTGTCGCCAAACATAGCATCTATAATGTCCTCCTTGTGGGTTTTATATAGAAGTATTTCCTTTTTCCATGCCATGCCCCCATCACTCTGGGGTGGATATTCATTCATTCATTCAGGCTATCCTGGATCCTTCAAGAAGACAGCAGTAATACCATCTTCTTGTTTTGCCTTTTTGGGTTCAGGGCTGAGCTGTATCGTGCCTCAGGAAAGTTTGAGCTGCTTGATCGTATTCTGCCAAAACTGAGAGCAACTAATCACCGCGTGCTGCTTTTCTGCCAGATGACGTCCCTCATGACCATCATGGAGGATTACTTTGCGTTTCGGAATTTCCTGTACCTTCGCCTTGATGGTGAGTCCCGAAGGGATCAGGCTCAGAAGCCACGCCGCCGGGCGCGCAGGGGGTGAGGGGCACTTAGGTCCGGCCCCAGCTGGCAGGAGGAGGGAAATTGTTGAAGAGTTAACTAGCAGGGTAGGGTGCAGCTTTTTTTTGCAGATGGCAATTTTTACATCCTCCACCTTAAAGTAAGCCGAAATCACTCGCACAGCTGTGTATCACCCCCAGACAAGCCAGCGCAAGTGGACTTGGAGGCATTTATGAGTGCCACAATTAAACTAAATGAAACTAAATTAAAATTTAAAAACCCTCTCTGCTTTTAGGATGGTGTGTGACCTACACACGATGCCGAATATTCTGATAAGCCCTTAGCTTTCTCTTTTGAGACATATTTTAAGGGGATAAAGGCTGTGTCTCCTCTCTTCAGTAACAGTGTACTTATTCATTTAGGATGATACTGAATTATCATTAAAGCTTCTTTCTTTTCCTAAATAGAACATTTCTCCATGCTACATTAAGAGATAGGGCCCCACTGTGTCCTGGATTTTACAAAACTATGTGAAATAGTTGCCTGATTTGCCTGGGTATTTCAATTTTTAGAAAATCAGTAAGAACATATGAATGGAAGGAAACATGCATTTAGAGATATTTATTTCTGAAAGTACTGTATGATTTGGATACCTGCCCTAATATTTTTGAGGTTGAAAGATACCAAATTTCCTATGCTGTGGCAGGGGGATAGCACTTTCTAAGAGTGGTACATGGGAATAGGAGCTAATTTATAGCCAGGATGGTATGGAATCCCTGCACAGAGAATAGTAACAGTATTACTGTTATTACTGTTAATTAATAGTACTAATATCTGTTTTTATCTGATGTAATCTTCAAGTTATTGTTATGTGGGAAATTTAAAAGTTTATGTTCCATTAAAAGGTTTTATTTTGGGGCGCCTGGGTGGCTCAGTCGGTGAGGCGTCCAACTCCTGATCTCAGCTCAGGTCTTGATCTCAGGGTTGTGAGCTCGAGCCCCGTGTTGGGCTCCGCACTGGGCGTGGAGCCTCCTTAAAAAAAATAAAAAATTGAGGGCGGAGCAAGATGGCGGAGGAGTAGGAGACCTGGATTTCGTCTGGTCTCAGGAATTCAGCTGAATAGGGATCAAACCATTCTGAACACCTACGAACTCAACAGGAGATCGAAGAAGACAGTAGCAACAACTCTCTGAACAGAAAAGCGACCACTTTCTGGAAGGTAGGACGTGCGGAGAAGTGAATCTGAGGCGATATTCGGGAGGATAGACGGCGGGGGAGGGGGTCTCCGTCGGCCGCTTCTGGCAAGTGATAGAGCCGCGGAGCACAAAATCGGAACTTTTAGAAGTCGACTCCGCTGAGGGACATTGCTCCAGTGGCTCAGCGGGGGGTGGAACCCTCGCGGGACACTGTGGTCTCAGGACCCTCGGGGTCATAGGAAGACCGGGGGTGCCTGAGTGCGGCAGAGCTCCCAGGTATCGGAGCAGGGAAGCCAGCTACAGAGACGGAGCCGAGGCGCGGGCTCTCAGCTCGGGGTTGCCATAAACTGTGATCCGC